GACTGAGGGACACTGTAACAGTCGTAAGAGGACTGGTTGTAAAAGTTGCTTTTTCAATGCCATTGAAACTTTGAATGGTCACTAAACAGGGCAGTCATTTAGGCCTATTAAAGCTTTGCTTCAAAGAGTTCTTAAAGTTTCATATTTTGTATAATTCCTTGAAATTGGCCATATTTTATCCTTATATTCTGGTTTTACTATGATGTCTTACATCGTTGGAAGCCATCTTCAGTCTGTATAAATATTAAAAAGTATTATAAATAAGTGAAGCAGCCCTGGGAAATTTTCAGACTAATAGCAAATTGGTAATTGATACATTCAATCTGATCAGTGTATAAATTAGTGTGATACTAGGTAACTGTTAATAATGTCCCAGTTTTTCCACCATGTATTGTATCTTTGTAAATTTTTGTCACAGCCTTCAGAACTGAAAATTGAAATATATATTTTCATCCTAGGCACTAATACCATTAGGGCAGACATGTCAAACTCGCCACGTCACGTGACATCGCGCAATGTATCGGAGCTTTTTTGCCATTGTCGGCAATGGGGTGGGCGTGGTTTTCCGACGACGCGTCCGGCTCGCGGGCTGGCAGTTTGACACCCCTGCATTAGGGTGATTTAATGGAATGGATTGTTACTATGTGTTAATTTTTATACTTCATATAAATTGTGTAAAATGCACTTTTTCACTGTATTTTTACTAAATACAGAACATTTGCTAGGCTGTTGTATTTAATGCTATATAAAAAAGCAAAAATATAAACTTAAGTCAGTTACTGGAAGCAATAACTTGGGAACCAACCGTTGGTGATGCTTATTGTCATAACCTGGTTAATTACCTGATTTTAATGGAACAATTTTGAAAAAAGGGTATTTAAACCTTTTGATCTGCGCAAGAAATAGAAAATTTCCCCATTCTCAGTTTAATAATCATTACCTGACTAAATTAAGTCTGTTTACGGAAATAGTATCAATTTTGGAAGGATGAGAAAAACAATTTATTTTTGAAATTTTACAATTTCATGCTGGCTGGGAAATTTTGGGAGTTGAAGTCCACACATCTTAAAAGTTGCCAAGTTTGAAAAACACTGGTATAAATAAAATAACAGAATAGAACCAGACTGAGTTTCCATCACTTTTGAAGCTGTGCTCTGCTAGTTCCCATCCCCAGGACCATACTTGGAAGAATCCCAGATTCCCACTGGTTTAATTTTAATGGGTTAAGGCCAAATATAATCTTAAAATGGAGTATACCAATAGTTATGCCAGTACACAAAGTGTTGAAAAGAAGACTGCAAAATAGGTTTTATAATCAATAGCCACTTTGCCCCCGTGGCTGGCATAATCTTCGTTGAGAGAATATCCAGGAACAAAGGGGTTAGGAATGACAGACCCAAATGTATCTTCAGAATTCTCTTTCCCAAGTGATCAGTGAAATATTGTCACCAATGAATCTCTGTTGGCCGAACCATTTAGTGGTATACTGTGGCAGCTGTGAGGCCTCCCTGCCAGGAAAGACAATTTGAAACTTAACACTTCTGCAAAATTCTAGTCTTCTTTGCCTTAGTTTCCATTTTTATTGCGGTGTGTAAAAGAACATTTAAAAATGATGTTATCAACATGTATTTTATTTTCCTTTGAACAACAGTACATAATTATAGAATTGTTTTTATACACAGAGAAGTCATTTTGTTGCTTCTTTTCTTGATGTAAAACAGCACAGTAATCTTTACACAGTTGTAAGGTTTTCCCCCCCTTTTTTTCCTCTTTACACAACTTTCTCCAATGGAAGCAAATTGCAAGAATGTATCGATGCTGGTATATTACATCTACTTACATTATTTAAGAACAGTAAATGGGAGAAAAATAAGTTATTTAAATATACAGAAAGTGCAACTTTTGTTAGTTGTTACATAATTTGCTTTTTTTTTTTTATTCCCAAAGAAATTGCATTTAGGGTTTAGTATGGAAAAAGTGTGTGGCTTAAAAATAATACAATACATATGTACAGCTATGACTTGGTGAATTGACCTTTATTGCTGCACTACAGTTTGCATAAATAAGATTAATGAGGAGTTGTGCTCTGATATCTTTATTTACAGCATTACCACTTGCACCCAAAGGCAAACTTATAATTAGAACAATTCTCAGGAGGACCGTGAAGCATGTCTTGCTGCCTCTTTGATTAACTGCTGGTTAAAAACCATCCTCCATGGATATTAAAATGGCCCTACCTGTCTGTAGAAGATCAATACAAGAGTCTAGTTTAATGTTAACAGCTTCCAACCTAGGGGTCCTTCTATCACCTAGACCTTCTCTGCAACATGGAAATACTAAATGATTTAACACTTTTCCAAAATCAATATGAATACAGGGGAAATGGTCAGCAGTTGCGTCAGTTGTATACTATAAAGGATATGTAATTTTTATACCTTAAGGATTGTGTATATGTTTGTGTGTGTGTGTGTGAAACAAAAGAGTAAACAATACATTTAAATTATTTTTAAACAGTATATAGTAATATCAACAGAACCAGGACTGGATTTGTGCACGTCTGATCTCAGTTTAACAATTTGTTTCCGTCCTAATGAATATACTTCTTGAGATGTATAAAATATTTTTGTTTTTCATTCTGTAATTCTGTAAATATGAAACCTTAGCGGCATCGTTTGTATCCTGACATACAGTATTACTGTGACTGACTTCCAGCTTCCACTGGATCTAAACCATTTGTGGTAATATTTTTTTAAAAAAATCAATTTCTATAGTATATTACAAATAAATGAAAATTCCAGCTAATCTTACAGGCTTATAACCACACAATCTACACGCAGAGCACATCTCTCTGCATATATAGTCATCCATTAATTTAATTAAAAAGTAATAAATTTGTACATGAGAAGAAATGTTTACCACAGTCCTTTTTTTTCCTTTAATGAGTAGAAATCTTTTAATCACTTTTGTGCTTGTCAAAATAAACTAATAAAATAGTAAAGGTTGGAATGGTAAGATTTATTTTTTTTAGTAAAATTCCTCAAATACCTGATATCTTAAAGAAAGTAAAAGGAGAAAGATACCTGATGAGAAAGAGTTCTTGGCAGAAATTATGCTTGGCAGAAATGTTCTTAGCTGAATATTGCATTTTTTGAAGTTGTAAAAACGATTTCTTTTTTAGAGGTAATGCAATGGGAGGCACAGCGAGGTGATGAGAAACTACGTGAAATCAGACTTCGTGTTCCCAGGCTCAGACTGAGTCCATTATATCTTCACACTATCGGGGCATTACTTATCCTGAAAAGCCTTATTATAGTTAATTAGTAGTTAGTAGGTACTACTGGACAATCGATGTGTCAAACTTATTTGGTATATAATGTGTCCAATCATGTACAAAAATAAAGTTTATCTATATTCACAGAAACAAGGAAGAGATTTTACATTGTATAGTTTAATAGTTTTAGTACACAAGAACATGGTACCACAAAGAAAAAACAAAAACAAAATCAGTTTGCTCCAGCAATCCATTCTAGTAAATCATTTCAATATCTAATAATATACATATTTAGCTACTCTTACACGAATTATAGCTTGAGAGTTCCCTCTCCCCTCCCCTCCCCCCACAAATCTCACCGAAATAGAATTCTTTTTCTGAATCTCTGGATGATGATATTTTGCTTATTTAGCCAGATGGGTTTTCTTTGGGGCAGAAGGAACAACCCATGTGTCCCACTGATATGGTCAGGATACCAAGTCGAAGCTGCAGCAAACCGAACGACAATGCATCAAAATACACAAAATTGCAATTAACATGGAAAAGCATTTTTATCATATTTATATATATCTATGTACATACAAAAGGCAAAATATCTTTCAGCCTTTTAGTAATGCCAGCAAACATTGACAGCTATAAACATCTTGTTAGCCTGAGAACTAAAGTCTGCAATTTCAAAAAACAGCAACTTTATACAAGGAGATGTTGTGAGATATAGGAAATCTTTAAAATAAGCTGTTGCTAAATTAAAACTGCAACAATGAAAGATCTTATAAATCTGGAGGCTGGTAAGTAAATTGCTCAAAAAGCATTTTAAGGCAAATTAAAACTGGCTGCTAAATAGAACTTTTAAAAATTACTTTTATTCTAAAGGAATAAAAGCTTTAAAAAAATTGGTAAGTTGCAATAAAGATCAGCTGAAAAAGATACCAAATTCGGAACTCTGACCTAGCTACTGTCAGATGGAAATCTGTGGCCATCACTTGGACCATGCTTCATCTTCTGTTTATGGGGAAATTTGAAAGCTAAGTGTTCCTCAACTCTGACCTCCATTTCCATTTTCTAGGATACTATATTGCAAGACTGTCAAACTGCCGGCCCGCGAGCCGGACACAACATCCAGAAGCCATGCCCACCCCATTGCCGGCAATGGCAAAACCGTCCTGATATGTTGCGCGATGTCACGAGTTTGACATGTCTACTATATTGGTAAGGTCAAGCTTTATTAATATATTTTTATATAAATAGCTGAAATGGAAAGGATGTGGAAGGAACCTCTATGAGAGATTTAATCCTTAATATATTTGTTGTGATTATATTTTCCCTCAGTAGGATATATAAATTTAAATTAAAAATCCTTAATGGTCAGTTAACTAGGCTTTAGCCTTTGAACAGAACCAAAGTATCTAGAGATCTACAATTTGCTACCTCCCCCCGCAAACGGAAGATATTTGCTGTTGAATTTTCAAGAATGTAGAAAGATCTCTTTTTTCTAATGGCCAAAAGCAAGGCTAAGAGTCCTTAGCAAACTAAAACTATTGGTTGTGCCTTTTCTTTTGAAGAAAAAACAGGTCATACCACTTCCCTGTTGTGGACAGGTGATACTACGGTTTTATATGCAGGGATGAAACTGCAAAGAACTCTAGCTTTCTCCAGGACCAGATTTACCCTTTCCCAAAGCTTTTTCTGGAGCAATTAGTGATGAAATAGCTTTTAAAAGAAATGATAATTGTATTCCAACAGAAAAATACTACATTCCAGAATGGGTTAAATTGTCTCTGGGTTCAGAAGTCTTGCTGCTGCTAAAAGCTTGCTTATGTGCCTCTCTTCAGTGATGCCAGCCTCATGAAGTGAAGTCTGTGACAGAGAAGGCACTTTACTTAAGTCATTGATTCCTGCAGCTCTGAGAGAGACTGAGTACATTGGGAGGCCAACAGAAACTAGCCAATCAGTTATGGAAGAGATATTTCCAGGCGATACAGGTTTTCGGCAAATTTCAGTGAGGCCGCCACTTGGAATCTGTAGCAAAAGAAAAGATAATTCAAGCTGTCGTTTGGCCTTTTCTCTAATTTTTTTTTAAAAAAAGCAACATCAGTTTGTTCCATGTAAAAAGAAACTGCTGGGATTCTTGAATTCCATCTGAATACATACTATCTTCCTGTGAGAGAATGTGAGAACATAATGTTTTTCCCTTGGGGAAATGGTATGATGAGAACGCTAAATTAATTATTTTTCAGAGTTCTTTGTGGTGACCTAAGTAATGCAGTTCTTAAACTAAATAATGCGTCCAAAATTTTTGTATACTTATAATAGCAATAGCAATAGCACTTAGACTTATATGCCGCTCCATAGTGCTTTACAGCCCTCTCTGAGTGGTTTACAGAGTCAGTATATTGCCCCCAACAATCTGGGTCCTCATTTTACCAACCTCAGAAGGATGGAAGGCTGAGTCACCACTGAGCTGTGGTGGCTCAGTGGTTAGAATACAGTACTGATACAGTACTGCAGGCTACTTCTGCTGACTACCAGTTCAATTCTCACCTGCTCAAGGTTGCTCACTCTGTAAACTGCTTAAAGAAGGCTGCAAAGCACTGGGAAACCAGTATATAAATCTAAGTGTATTGCGATTGAGCCGGTGAGAATCGAACTGCTGGCAGTCAGCAGAATTAGCCTGCAATACTGCATTGTAACCACTGCGCCACCAAGGCTCTTAGTAAAGAGTCACCTGGAATTTCACACTAAATGGTCATCTGCTTCTTGCCATCAGCTTCTAACAGTTCCTGCGGAAGCAGCAAGTTAAACAAGAGAAAACATCAAGAAGTCTTTAAAGGCAAAGATGCCAGTGATATACTGGGAACAATTTCTGTGCTGCTAACTCAGGGCTTGTAGAGGAGACCGATAGGTAGCGTGTAATCAAAGATTCCACTATCTATCAAGGAAAATGAGATAGTTGCCAGTTGCCAGAAAATGAGATAGTTGCCAGATAGTTGCTCGTTCTATTAGTCCTTCCCTGGCACTGCAGAGGTTGAATATCATCACCACTGCCAAAAAAACAAGGAATAGTCTAGTTTTATATGCGAGCAGTTTTTTTAAAAAACAAACAAACATGAAAAGATAAGCTGCATTTTTAAATATACAACCTATTCAAGGTTTTCCCAACCCGCAATTCAAAGTGGCAAAACATCAAAAGGACTCAGTTTTTTCTTTGCTTTTGTCACAGGCCCTTGAACTTGCCACAGGGGTTTAACGCTGACTTACCGCCATACGGTGCTGCTTTCTCAGCTGCTTCACTCGTACTTGGTCCAGGTTTGTAGCAACATCCTTTTCAGGCTGATCTAGGTCTTCAGCATATCTTTGCACCAAAGGCTCAGGAATCCCACAACGGCCGTGCTGCAGATGTCCAGATGAAAATTCAAGTTATAATGAAATAAGCAAAATTCTATGTTCTTTTTATACTAGGGGTCCTCAACCTTGGCAACTTTAAGACTTGTAGACTTCAACTCCTAGAATTCCTTAGCCAGCAAAGCTGGCTGAGGAATTCTGGGAGTTGAAGTCCACAAGTCTTAAGTTGCCATGGTTGAGGACCCCTGTTCTATACTAAGTTCCTTCAGATATTAAGTAATGGTTCCTTAAGAAATTATAAGAAGTTTAACTTGGCAGCTATCCTTTTCATATACACATCTATATTTATGACTTGAATTTATTTCAGTAATTGTACAAGGGTTTTCTATAAATTGATAGTAAATCTATTTCTTAAGAATGTATATGGAGATTCTCAAGCATCCAGGTCAAGGTTGTCCCAAAGGTGCTTTTCAAAAGACAATTGGACTTTCTTGGTCCCCCCCCCCCGAAATGAAGATGCTTCTTGGATGAAAAGTGAAATGTTTTCAAAGAAAAACCAAGAAAATCCAGTTGTTTTTTTGAAAAGCACCTTTGGGGTATTCCTTAAGAAGCCTTAAAAATCACTATCCTAATCCATTGCTCTCCAAGTATATTTCCCATACTTCCCATGCAGACTGGTGTTATGAGTGTTAAACTGAAAACATATGAAAGGTATAATATTGTGGGAGGCTGGTCTTGAGGAGAACATTGGTGTAAAGGGGCTCGACAAACAAAATCAAAGCAAGCAAGACTTTAAAAAAGCAGGCTTCAGCATATACTTAACTTTGTCATTAAAATTGATGGATCTAAGATGTTACTGGAAAGCCAGTTTGGTGTAGTAGTTCAGGCAGAAATCCCCAACCTTTTGGGCACCAGGGACCGTTTCCATGGAGAAAGCTTTTTCCATGGACCGGGGAGTGCATGGTTTTGTGTGCTGCCTGCATCCCGCTCATTTGTGCGGACCGGTTGCTGGTATGCTGTGGCCCGGTACCAGTCCATGGACTGGGGGTTGGGGACCCCTGAGTTAAGGCATCAAACTATAAACTGGGATAACTGAGAGTTCTAGTCCCACCAGAGACACAGAGTCAGCTGGGTGACCTTGAGACAATCATTCTCTCTCAACCTTATGAAGCAGGCAAGGGTAAAACACTTCTGCAATTTTGCCAAGAAAACAGCAGAAACTTGTCCTGGTAGTCATTAGGAGGTCAAAGCTGATTTGAAGACACCAAAAAAGAAAGGTCCCTAATTTTGCTTCATTAAGCCTATTCCAAGTAATATATAAGCTAATATGATTTGTTGCTTTGACAAAGGCTTAATTTATATATTTATGGGCAGTATAGATAGTGGCCTTTTTTGGTAGGCCATTATGTACTGCCATACAGATAAAATTCACTACATGGAATACACATCAGAGTTAGGATTTGCAACTTGATAATTACTAATTACTAATATTCAAAATGAAAACTTTTCAGTAGAACAGTGAAAATTGTTCAGTATAGTATATAGATCTACCAAATGGCTTACTATATCACCACTGGAACAGAATATGTCTACTTATGATTACTAAAATACATGGATGCCACTGGGGTATGATAAAAGAAGTTCTAACAGTGAAAATAATTGAAAAGCTATTCCAAAGAATTAACATTAGGAACATTTAAATTTTCTGGCACCTTATCAGAATAGGGCTCCTCTGTAAGATCAATATCTTCAGATTGCAGCTTGTTTTCTATCAACATTTCGAGATCCAGTCCTCTGTTACAGGATGTCTTCTTTACTGAAGAAGGATCTAGTTTTAACACATGTTGCTGGACACTAGCTGTTTCTGGAAGGTCAGACAACCAAGGAGGCCTTATGCTGGAAGGACTTTTGGGTTCCTGATCAGGAAATGTTCTGCATGCAGTCAGTTCATGGGAACTGGAAGAACCAGATAGGGTAATTTTTTTTGCTGGCAAAGACGGTACATCTGAACAAGAAAGAGTTGAGGGGAGATGACAGTGTCCATTAGAAATACGCTCCCTGTTTTTTTTTGCAGGGACTGGCGGTGGCTGTGAAGATGCTTTGGGTTGCGTTTTTGCTTCACTCGTGTCCTTCTGATCAGTTTCCACATTTTCCTTGCGGATAGAAGTATTAGCTCTTCCAAAATCAAGGGTGCTTTTTTTACAACTTTCAAAAGGAGTCCAGGTCATACCATATGAAAGTGAAGATGTCCGAGCATCAGAGTTCTCAGACAAACGCTGAGGGAACATTCTTGTGGAAGGCATGGTTGCTGACAAGTGGAATTCCTTTCTCTTCCCCTTAGGGGCACCAGCAACCTCTTTTCTTTGATTAGCCATAAACAATTTCACCATCTGCCTACCACCTTCAGAATCAGTTGATTTTTTTGATGAATCCAGAGGTGAAGCATCCACTGATTTTATACTATCAGTGCCAATATTTCCATGAAGATCTCCAAGAGAATGGGATCTTGGCCACATAGGCATATTTGGGGCTCTTTCTAAAATTTCCCAGCTCCGACAGATACCAGTTGGCAAACTTCTACCTTTCTTCTTGAGCTCTACAGCTGCTGGCGGCTTGAGACGGTTTTTTGAGATTGGATGCACACAGCTGAACTGGGTTTTCTTTTCTTGCTGATAAGCTTCTGTTGATTTAATTAAGGGTAGATTTGGAAAATTCGCCAGAGGGTTTCGATGGAAATCCTTAAAATTATATTCACTGACTAATTTTGAGGGCAGGAGACAAGGCTGTCGTATTTTAGCTGAAACAGAATGAAATAAACATTACAAGTTTAGAAAAGAAATAGATTTTTGAAACAAATCAGCACCTGCTCCCTCCTTGCTCCCTGGGATACCCATGCATTATTATTTATCTTGATGTATACGGTGTGTAGAGAAACAAAATTCTGAGGAATATGTGATATTACCTGTACAGATGAAGTTTGTCTAAATTTTAAGCTTTAAATAACAATCGGAACAACGGTATACCAAAAGGAGCAGTTTAATCCTTTCTTCCCCTAGCTCATTTGACATTTCCCAACTGAAATGGTTTTCTCAAGAGAAGAATTTTTGATTCCTCAACTGGAAGTTTCTCAGAGCCAGAGACCTGGAGGCACAGGCAAGTAAAACAAGACTCCTGCACTTGATAAAGCTTCTGCTCAACCATTCTAAGGCTACATGAATGGATAAATACATAAATGCATTTATCTGGACTGTAGAAAAGGAGGAAATGGCAAAAACAGCCCAAAAACACATCACTGAAAAGCTCTTGTAATCTTAAGTAAGCCCCACTTCCTATGTATTACTGTGATGCTCTGATTCAAAGAGATCCCTGGCAAATATTACGTACCAATATGATTTTGGGTAAACCTAGAATAGGCTTCTCTCTATTATGCCATCCACTTCTTGTGCTGAAGTCTGTTTTTCAGAAAGAGAGGCATTCCATTTACAAAGGCTGAAAGAAGCTGTGATCACTGGGATAGCGCACAGCAGGTGCTTCTCACTTTATAGGCTGTCAGTGCTTCATTCTACTTGACATGCTGCAGTTTACATAAAAGGCTCCAGTAGGAGCTCAGCAACACAACGCTTTGAGCCAAGGACGATGCCACGTGCATATCAAGTAAAGAAACCCTTCTCTGGAAAACAGTCTTTTTTCTTTCTCAAGGCTCTGAATAATTTCCTCAATCTATTGTAAGCAGATGAGTTCATTCTTTATCAGAAGCACTTCCTCATTTATGCTTTTGTACTGATGGAGCAACTTCATTCAACACAGCTTGCATTGCAGGAAAGGGGTGGAGTCCTTTATACTACATGGATATTTAAAAAAAAGCAATTACCAAAAACAAAGGTGAAAAATGAGAGCTCTATATACCCTGCAGGGAAACGGTCTGTCCAGAGAACCTTGGAAAAGTGCACAAGCCCCAGAATTAGTGTGCCTCCCCTAATTAGGTCTGCAACAATTGTTTTGTTAGACAATGAAAGCAGTGCCAAAATCGCCACTAAAAGAAATTCTGTTAAGTGCTGTTCCTGGAAACAGAATCTGGTGTCCCTTTAGAAGCTAATGAATTAGGCATGCGATTCAAATGAGCACAGCTGAGATTACCATTCTCCAGGTTTTCACTGCTTTCGTAGCAGCCTGAATCCCGGGGAGAACATCCACTGAGGTCCTGGCCATCTACAAGGAGCTTCTCCTGGGAACCCGACTGGTCACTGTTACCTTGAGCAAAGAACAACAACGGCAAAACTAAGAAAGTGGCATTTGCACGGATTGAAAACAATCTCTTTTATATCAAGCAACCTGTAAGACAAACTTAGGTTATAAATAAATGATAGAGATACATGCTTAAAAATACTTGAGAAGCCAATGAGAAAGAAGGGAGAAGACTAAGGAATTTTCAGCTATTGTCACTAAGCAGTTTTGTGTAATATAGCCACTGCTGCGCAGGTTTTCAAATTTAACATACAAGGTCTGCAAAAAAATATTCAGAGAGTTCCTCAGTCTTTCCACCCTGGAGTAGAGCATTCAGAGGCTGGAAAATTAATCGTCCTTCTCTGTGCTTCCTATGGGTAAGGTGCTTCTGCTCGTGCTACTACCACATAACTAAATCAATGCAAATTAAGTTGGAAAACTAGGGACAGCATATTTCAGGTGCTAATGGGGACAACTGGGGATTCTTTTCCAGCCTAGAATATATTTAGGTCAGAGAAGCATCTCTGTGGTCTTCTTCTTGGGCAATCTTTACGAGCCCTGATTTGGCAGGTTCTCTAGTTATGAGCCACCTTATACTCTATGGAAATTTCCCAAAGCCCAGTGACATTTATTTCTTATAAACCATTTGTGATTATTCCACATTCTCTCTAGCTCCCTGCAAGCCATGATTTTCAAGACCTTTGAGGTTCACAGTTAGAATCTCCAGACTCCCAAGTAGGTAACATCCTTAGCTGTGCACTGTAAAAAAAGACAATCCATCTCACTGTCATATTCCTGCAGGAGCTCCACAGCTGTCAAGAGAACCGCGCGGTGCTCTGGATCTCGAATGTTGAGCTCATCCAAATCTTCCTCCTCCAGGAGCTTGAAGGTATCTAAGTCTTCATAGCCATTAAACAGAAAGGTTGGCATGTGCTCCTGTGTCAAAGAGAGATGCTACTTTCAATGCTGTATATTTTGCAAAGGTTTTTTTTTTGTTTCTAATGGTGCTATATTATAACTGATTTGTAAGGAACATTTTGAGTCATACCATTTTAGAGGCTATAAAAAGAATATGCAGTAGTACCGGTAAACCTATCCATTGTCATTCCTTCATTTCTCTCTCAACCAGAACAGATTTCCACTTTCTTTTTGACTGCAGTGGATTTTATATTCTGTATTCCCTATAAAAATTCCTCTGCAACACAACTGTCACACACTTCAGTGCCAGTGTGAGATTTTCCTCGCTGATGTGCCACATTGGCAGGTAGTCCATCTGATGAAAGAATACGCATGGGGCGAAGTGGCTAAGAAGTTAATCCGTTAACTCCTTGAGTTCTTCATTCAAGATATAATGCAGACTGTGTGATTCCAACTTGAAATAAACTCAGGTCACAGCCTTTACTGGCTTTCTGCATTAATATTTTTTTTTAAAAAAAATCCAATGGCAGCTAGTATCATGAATACAAATATTTCTTCCATCTATGCCCTCCCCCAGTCATGAATCCCAGATGTGAATATTCTTGTAATCTTCACCCTTTATTTCCCCTCCCCCTTTTATCCTGCTCCACTATTTCCTCTTCAGTTCTAAATTTATCTGAAATATAACCATTTTGTGCCATACACTGGTGCTTGCAATATTTAAAATGTATATCTCATGTCTACAGAAACCTGCTGCATACCAAGAAAAAGACTCAGCTTTTGTTTGCATTTTGCCTTCCTCTGAGGCAGCACTTTCGATTTCTGAACTGTGATTCAGACCAGTCGCACCAAGAATGTTGGTCTCAATATTTCCCTTATCATAGTATTATCTGGAAGTTCTGACTCAATTAATGCAATTTGCTTAATTATCAAGTTTCTTTATCACTGGCACTAGGCTAAACAAGCACTGTTGTGGGTTGCCACGTACGTTTTCCAGGAAAAAGCCTACTATTCCATCAGCCCTTTCATTTTAAAAAATAAGACTTAATGATATACTTACTACATTATTTATTCATACTGAATGAAGATGAGTGTGGTTTTAAAATTGCAAGAAGATGAATGTGGTTTTAAAATTAGAGAAAAAAAAAGATACTTTGATAGCTGAAAATGCAAATAAAGTCCAATAGTGAACATCAAGGAGAAGAGTGAGTAAATGGTACTAAGATTAACTATAAAGAAGGCCCAAGCTAATGGCAACTGGTACAGCAACCAGCCTTAGAACTGACAATGAAAATATTGAAGCAGCGGATAGCTTCTCCCTTTCAAGATCAACTAAAAACAATTGAAAGACCAGGCGTCAAGCAATAGATCACAGAATAGCATTTCATAAAGTAGCAGTGAAGGCCTTGAGAAAAAAAAATCAGATGCTGGGATGTGGCTATATCTACAAAGACCAGAATTTTATTCTCTAAAAATAAAAGTTGAAATCAGGATTGACATCTTTTAACTTTGGTATCTGAGAAAACCAGTAATGGCCAATATGTCACTTGAGACTCAAATGATCATACTTTGGACATATTATGCAACAATCTGATTCTCTGTGGAAGGAAAGAGAAGAAGACAACCAGCAGCAAGATAAATGGACTCAATCACAGTGGTGATGTGTACACTATTGGAAGACCAAATTGGAGACAAATTCTTGTGAAGAAAATCTATCTACACGTACCGTAGTTCTCGATTTAGGACTGTAACTTAGTTTGCAATGATCTTAGTAATTTGTAATGATTAATAAGCAGATCACCTTGCGATTGCGTTGAATTTTACTACCTTTTTTATGGTCATTAAGCAAATGCCTTGGTTGTAAAGCAAATGCTGTATGGTTATTAAGTGAGCCCATTATTCATTATGAGATGGGGTTGTGGTTTTTTTTTGCTAGAAACTAGAAGTAAATGCTGGTTTCAGGCAAAAACCATAGGATGTTGCTGTAAATGGGGGCTGGTTACTGAGCACCCAAAATGTGATTATGTCACGTATTATCATCTTTGGTGGACATGCCCCAAAGCAAAAAAAAATTGGTCAAAAATACATAGGTGGTTAGAGAAATGTTAAGAAAACACATAGATTTTAAGCCGGAACTATTGCTTTTAGGTATAATCTCAGAAAAACATGAGAAAAAAATGTGTGCATTTAATGTTACGTGTATTTACAGCAGCAAGAATTGTATTTGCGCAGCATTGGAAAAAATGAAGAAATACCAGCTGAAGAAGAGAAAATTAATAAAATGTTGGACTGTGCAGAAATGGATAGGCTTACTTTGAAAATGAAAGGAAAAGAAGATACAGAATACTTCCAAGCATGGGATGTAGTTTACCAATGGCTGGAAAAGGGGGATAGAGATTAGGAATTTAATATGCATTATTAAGTTAAACATTTGGCCCAGACAACACGTTGTTTACTAAGCACTAACGAATTGTAAACATAAAAAATAAAATATTTTTTAAAAAAATGTGTTTATGTGGCTTTAGGGATGGTGGCCATTAGGATTTTGAATCTGGATCATGAGTAGCTTTTCCAGAGTCTGCCGTAACTTTAAACGGTTGCTAAGAGACTAGTCATAGGTCGGGGACTACCTGTATGTGATTGCTAAGAGTCGACATTAACTTGACAGCACACAACTAGTCAATTACATTTAACTCTTCTTTCATTGGCAGTGGGCATCATCACACATGCTTTAGTTAGATGTAAATATTGTTTGGCTGCAGCTAGTCTTGATTTTTCTAAAACAAAGTCCAGTCTGGCCAAAAACAAATACAACCTATATTTTATTTAAACATCATGCATTATATACTCCTATTTATTTGAAATATATATTAAAAATATCCATTTTCTCCTCATTTTAACGTTTGACTGAATAAAATATATAAGAAGAAACGAAGAGACATTTGTTGCATACTAAGAGCAGTCTATCTTTTATGAAGAATTACCTTTCAAGGATGGTGATGAGGAAAAGAAGAAAAAAATGACGGTAGCCTGGGCATGTTCCACCTGAGTGTGTTTTAGTTAGGGCAAGATTGCTGAGATACCTCTAGAGTGAGATAGTTGCACACATTATAGCTCAGAATGGAGACTATGGATTTATTTTAGACAGCTGCTGTAATAAAAAAAACATCTTTCTTGCCAGGAGCCCAGCTGTTAGCAATTGCTCTCTTCTATTCAAGTAGCTTTACTGGCAATAAAAAAAATGTAAGAGAGCTTTGGGGAGACAGGTAACAGCTTCTCAAAAAGTTTACTCTTCCTTCACTGCTCCACAGTTGGGTTATTGTCTCATTGATGTTGGAATTCTCTTTTCAAAAGGCCTACCATCTCTTTCCTTAGAGATTTGATCCTTGCAACTTTCCGATTGGCTATAATGTTTTAATATCTCATGAATTGTACTGCTCTCACTCTCCTGTAAACCTTTGTTTTGTTTAATGATTTGTCTTTCTTTCTTTACAGTAAAAGGTTTAGCTGTGATCACATTTTAATGATGTTTGGAGGAGCCACTCTTATTTGCAGAAAAAGTCTGAGACCGAGTCCATCTATCCTTCCTTGCTGAACAGACAGAATTATTCATTGAATAGCATAATGTATTCCTGGCTCTTTCACAGCCTTAACGTCAAACAGGATTTAAACAAAACAAAAGCAAAACAGGTACAATGAATCTTTCTAGAAAAGTAAATTAATAACTATGCATGGATAATTGGTTCTCTAAACAAAACTGTGACAAATAAGAAATTTATCAGGAAATTTAGGAGAGAAAACAAAGGGAATTATTGACAATAAAAAACAACAAGTATACTTTATACTAAGAAAACACAATATGTGATCACAGAACATCTGTAGAGATTTAACCACAGGCAGTATTATCCACTAAATTGTGCACATTGTTCCTGCTGTGGAATTGAGAATCCAATCATCTAAAATCAGCTTGCTTTTAAAAAGTTACTTCACTTTAATAGCAGAGCAGAAAAGGGATAAAAAGAAATAAGTATGTCAATCCCATCTGATAATAAGCATGAAGCAAAACAAATTAAAAATGTTTATTAAATAAAATCCATAAGAGTTGAATCCAGGCTTAATTAGCTGGAATCAATAATTTCAGTGTTAGGTAATGTGATCATCCACTCTTTGGTCTCTGAAGGAGGACTGAGGAGGAAAACAAGAATACTGGAAATGAAGCATCAGCTATTCAAATAATTTCTAGGACTATGATTGCATTATCTGGAGAATCAACTGCTGGCATGAAATGGGCTGCACCTCATAAGGATTGGTAAAAATGTATTTGGCTGAAACATGTTGAGCCTAATGGGGAGAGCTTTAAACTGAATCCACTGGGACTTGGCAAATAAAACCCTTAAATCTTCAGATCAAGCTTTCTGCACTCTGAAAAGAAAGAGGAATACTTTTTCACCTGGGTTATTAAAACCACTATATGTTAATGATTAGACTATAGACTATTAGAATAATGAAGATGAGCTTGAACCTTTGGTACAGGAAGGCAAATCTGATTTAATAGGTCTCATGGAGACAGGGTGGGTTGACTTCCATGACAGGAATACAATTTGTTCAAAAGGAACAAAAGCAGTAGAAAAGGAAGAGTTAAAAATGTTAATATATGCTCAAAAATTTAGATGAATTAACTTTACAATCAGATAGAGAGCATATGAGTAAAATATGACATAAATTACTATTATCTGCCTGGCTGTTGGGATACACATACTGTCTTCCAAAAGCAAACTGCACATCTTTGAAAGAGACATGGAAGTCAAAGTATTGGGAGATTTTAACTACTTTAATAAGTGTTGGGAGACAAATTGTGCCAAGGAGGGCCCTTTCAGGAACTTTGTGACTTATTTTTCCAAGAATTTTGTTTTTCAGCTGGTAGAGTTCAATGAGCAGCCAATAAATTTAAATAAATAAATATCAAAGGAAGGCACAAGAGGATCATCTGTCTTTGATCTTTGACACTAACTAATACAGAAGTCTTAGTTGAAGTGAAAATAGTAGAACACAAAGGGGGAAAACTCTAGATAGGAATAGAAAAACCATTACTAGAGTTCAAATGAAACTATAGATGAGTAGTAATAATAATAATAATAAAGTTGGAAGGGACCTTGGAGGTCATCTAGTCCGACCCCCTGCTCAGGCAGGAAACCCTATACCATTTCGGACAAATGGCTGTCCAGTTTCTTCTTAAAAACTTCCAGTGTTGGCGCATTCACTGCTTCTGGAGGCAGGTTGTTCCACTGGTTAATTGTTCAACAAGTATAGTTCAACAAGTAGATTTTAATGAACTCAGAAGCAAGTAGGATTCTTTATAATGGAAACTGGGAACTCAAAATAGGCAGGAATAGTTGACTGCAAACTTGGTGTCAGTCAGGAATATGACGTGACTACAAAAAAGGGAAATGCAGTTTGCATCAGCAAAACAAATAGTTCTATTGTGTTGAGCAATTGTCACTTTAAGTAAAATATTCAGTGATAGGCGTTATGTGTTAAGAATGAGTCAGATGAACTGGAACAGGTTCAGAGAACTCAAATCAGGATAGCAAGAAAAAAAGATCATCCCAGGATTTAGGAACAATATATTAATTTTCAGGAAAGAGATACTGAGATCTAATTCACAAGAAAGCAGATTCTGTTGGGGGGGGGGACAAAACAATAATCGTATTTGACAGTGTATATCCCACTAAGGTAAATCAGACTAGGAGACTAAAATCACTTATGTTATACTACTTTTATTATAAAGTTACAACAACAAAAGCTTACAAGACTTATCCCTTCCTTCCCTTTATCCCAGTGGTTCTCAACCTGTGGGTCGGGACCCCATTTGGGGTCGATCGACCATTTCACGGGGGTCGCCAAGCAAGGCTGTCCGCCATTTTTTCCCCCTTTTCCCCCTTTTCCGGCGGGAGCCTCACCTCCCTTGGGCTGGGCCAGCTGGTGGTCGGCCTGCTCCGTCACTGCCGCTTGCCAGCTACGCCTCGGCCGGCGCAGGGGGCGGCACCACCCATGCGTGGCGCTCCCGGGCAGGGAAAGTCCTCGACTTACGACCGGTTGGGTAGTCCTCAACTTACGACCGGTTTAGTCCTCGACTTACAACCGGTTTAGTCCTCGACTTACGACCGGTTGGGGTTGCGGCATTAAAAAGGTTGAGAACCACTGCTTTATCCTCTTGAGAAGTTAAGTATGGTCTTGTCTGAGGTGCTTACTCAGGTTACAAGTTTGGCCTGGGTTCAGATTTCTTTGAAGTAACTGTTCTCTTGGTTGTAGCTCTTCTTCCTGTTCCTCAAGGTTATTCTTTCTACCCATTACAAAGTTAAACCAACTATATGTAGGGGTGGTCAGCTCCCCTTCAATGAATGAACTCAAGAGGAAGTTTTCAGGAAACATGAACAGAACTCAACAGTCCTTCTCAACATTCAGTTAAGATAGATTCAATTTGCTGACTTAATATGCTGTGATATACTATTCTTTATCAACATTATTGTGTCTGAATGCTGTATAAATTAACTTATAAAAAGTAGATAATTTTTCCATCAAGTTACATGTTAAAAGCTTTCACTCCTAAGGCCAAGGAATATTTGTATCACCTGAAGCAAAGGGTCCAAGACCTAATTAACTCAAAATGTATTAGCTCAAATAGTATTTATTGTAATGTTTCTCCATGGACTACACTTTATTTTTAAACCCAAAAATATAAATATTGACAAAGAAGCATTACATAAAGATAAACATAGATCCCATTGCCATTATTTCAGAGTTTTAATCTATTTTCACATTCCTCTGTGAACTAAAGTCAGCAATGAGAAGGCAACTCAAATTACAACATGATTGTTGTGTGAGTTATTTTGGTGAGTTGGGCATTGCATATAATGATAAACAACATTGACATTAAAGATAAAAGAGAAAGAAGACTCAGTGTATATTAGAACATGGGATAATTTTTATCAATGGCTAGAAAAATGAGTTAGCGAGAAAGGAATGTGATATATAACATTGAATATATATTAGTAAGAAGAAGACTATTGAGCGATTAATTAACATATTGTTTATGATAATTATTCATTGTTTTTTTAATTACATGAACCTAGACAACATGCTGTTTACTAAATATTAAGAATGTTATTTTAAAAAATCCTAACACTAACCCCGATCCTAACCCTATAAAAATTAATTATATATATATGATAAACAAGCAAACATATTACCCCACTTGCATAAATAAACAAACTCTAGACTTAACAACTTCTATTCAAGAGACTGGAGCAATTCTACATCTGCTGTTCCTGTGAATGAAGTCGTGCTTCTTCATTTCTCTTATATTTTGAAAACAGAGAATTTTAAAAGTGCAGATGATTTGCAGAGAATTACGGTAAGTTTAATCTTGACTTCCTGCCTTGTTATGTGGGACCCTGCAATGCCCACATCGTGGGAGTAAGCAAATTTCCTCTGCATATTTTGAGCCAAAAGATTGTCACACAGCGGCTACCTGAAGCTGATAACTACTGAAGGATAAGCGTCCTTGCTTACATAGAGAGAAAAACAAGCCTTGCCTATAAGAACCAAGAAATAGGAAAAATGGAAATTGACCTTTAAATTGATGCGATCAAGGAGATCCTCGACAGATTTGGGCTGCTGTAATCTTCCTTTTCGACGCCTCCTTGTGGGCCTTTTAGGCTTTTCTTCCTCTTCATTTAACACATCCACATAGATGAATTTGAAAGTACCAACTTTATTGTTCAGAAGACCCATCCAGGTACCCATGGGAGGCTTGCTAATTATATCAATAATATCACCCTTCTGTAGTTGAGGAAAAAAATACATTTCAGGGATGTACTAAATCAATCCCGATACCTCTTATGTGTACAACCTTTTGTGAAATCCTTCATATTTTTTTTTTTAAAAAAATATGAAATTAAGCAAATAAAAGGACGGCTCAATTATTTTTTCTTTACATAAAGAGACTCTACTTCTTAATTCTGCAGCATTTTAACTGAACATAAAACATACTTCTATTTTTTTAAAAAAACCACACACACATTATACCTGTATAGATTTTTTTAAAAAAAATATCTTTGGCATGAGTCTTCATGACTAAGTATTTAGACGGGAACAATTTATATCTGAAAATATTTTTTTGTCAAAGGTATATGGAATAAAATCACCTGTCACTATCGGCTCAATTTTTGATCCACACTCATGTTCCTGCCTTTTCTATAAAAATAAATACTTGGGTTAACTTTTCCAAATCTAGAAAAGGGGGGGGAAGAGAATATTAACGTATGAGAACAGGTATTTGAGGGACTGCCTTACTCTCATTGTTTGAACCTGTCCCATTAGGTCAGGTGAGAGGGACATATTCAAGGGCCTATTGGTCAGGGATTGCATCTAGTGAGATCCAGGATGTGTAGCTTTTCCACAACTGCACCTGTACTCTGGAACACCATACCATCCAAGTCTTGGTTAACCTGACATTGCTCACCTTTTAAGAAAACATTGAAGACTTGGCTATTTTCCTGAACATGGGAGGCAAGAGAGTAATTGAACCCAGAATGTTGGTGCATGGTGGCTTTGGTGGCCACTTTGTGTTGGTAGTTGATCTAGATGTGCATTTTCAAATTTTTATTAGCCACCCAGAGTTTTATGAGGGAGATGGGCAGCCATATAGAAAGAAAGAAATGTATACACACATCTTAATTACAATAAAGTAGTTTCATAGCCTTTTCAAAAGTAGTCAGATAACCACTTTAAAGATATTGATCAATGTTTGTAAAAACGATAGCCTTTCTAAAAAGGACTATATTTAGAATCTAATAAAAATGAGAAACTAGTGTATCAAGGAGGTTTGGATAGGTAGTCCTTTCCACCAGATCTCGGGCCTAACTATGGAACATTTAGAGAACATTTAGTACCTTTGTAAGCAATATCCCTTAATTCAAATTTGCCAGTGAATTCATGGAAAGTACCTTGAGTTTAAGAGAATCTGTATCATAAGGGCTGGGGGTGAAGTCAGTGTGAACCCTGGCACGACCACAGAAAGGCCCTCGGTAGGCGAGCTCCTCATCATCACCATCTTCAGACTTGACGCTCTCTCTATTGCTGGTCGAAGAGTCAGTTGTGCTTACCGTCTGCCCACCTATTTGTGCAGGAAAAAAAGGCAAAAGCAAAGGAATTGCAAAAGACAACAAGCAGATCCTGACATGTAATCCTCTAAAATGTCAGGAACATTCCTCTGACTCTAGTCTAACATCACAGGTGCTATTAGAACAGCAAACACAGTAGATCCTGTAGCCCTTTTGCTTCTTTAATGGCATGTTTACCATCTGATCTGATTAGCTCCCCAGAGATTTATTTATTTAAATTTATTTATTTATCAAATTTCTACACCACCTATTTCACCTAAGTGACTCTGGGTGGTTTACAAATCTATGTAGTGTGGCTGCTCTTGCCTTAGCACAACTTCTGCTTCTCCCCAAACATTAATGCAGATCCTAGCTTTCAATTGAGCCCTCTATTACTTCCTAAATGAAGAACCACAAAAACAGATTTAAAAAAAACAAACCCTGATAATAATCCCCACTATGTCTGATACTTGACTCAAGAAGGCTCAGATTCAGCTTAAAATAGACATTTTTTCTCGCTACTTAAGACAACTAAGAGAGAGTCAATTTGGTCCAGTGGTTAAGGCACCAGACTAGAATATGGGAGACAGTGAGTTCTAATCCCACCTTAAGCAGAAAGTCATCTGGGTAACCTTGGGCCAGCCACTTCCTCTCAGCCCTAGGAAGGAGGGAATGGCAAACCACTTCCCAAAAAACTTGAATTAATTAACCCTCACAATAGATGCGGGTAAACACGGGGCAAAGAAGAATGGATGAAGGCAGAGAATATGAACAAAGTATTAGCATCTGGTCCAGGCCATGTTTCCTTAGGTTGAGATTTTTACATCTAAATTGAGCATAGATGACTTTATATACATTACTTACTCATGGAGCTTTGGCCACTGAGAGAACTCCGCAAACTTTCTACTGAACCACCAGCTTTTAACTTTGGTTTATCCAAAGTATCGGTATTTGGCTGTGGTGCCTGAAGAGACTCTGGCCTTACATCCAGATTGGGTTCCTGAAAGACAAAAACCTCATGATTGATATTAAATTTCCCATATACTCAAACATGGAACTATTGGTTTGTGTGGTTTTAAAATTCTGCAGCATCCTAGTAGAATTTATTGCTAAGGATTTGACCTCAACTATGATACAAAAAGCAGCAATTATCTATGATTTCCATTTTTTTTACCCCTTGTAAGCTAAAAAGACACAGTAAATAACAAGAAAGTATTCCTGAATCATGAGAAGACCAGGTTAAGGGTCAGACAGAAAATGGCGTCTGAAGAGAACTTAAACCCAGGTATTTTCCTATAGCTGAAGGAGACCTCTTCCTAATTTGCACACAGGTTTTGCATATTTACACAAAGTATCTTGTGATAAGTGAAGCTAACAGGTCAATATGTTCAGCACATTTGAACAAATCAGAATTGTGTTCTGTTTTGCACTTGAGATTCCCACATTTCTAATGTGTGTTGCCTAATCTATTTTTTTAAGATACAGAGATCTAGGATTTAATCTAGATTTTTCTTTCAAATCTGAAGTTAGCCCAACACTATTTTCAGTTCCCTTTGGAAAATATACTGCTCAAAAAAATAAAGGGAACGCAAACTCCTTCAGTTCCATGTTAAAATGTTCCCTTTATTTTTTTGAGCAGTATATTTCATTTAATGTGTTTTATACATGTTCAGATTTTTTAGTATGAAACGAAGGTTTGATAATAGTATTTTCAACTAGTTTAAAGTTCTATTCTTAAGATCATAATTAATATGAGTTGGAGTATGCTTTCCTTACATACCGGTACTATTTACGTTATCCAACGTAATGTCTTACATATATTCTTTGCAAACGTATGAAAAATATATAAATCACTTGCAGAGGCAATGTTTTAACTTATTCCTAATCAAACCATGCCATTAATTAAACCCATCTGAATCTAGCATCCATTTCTTTGTTCTACTTGTGATTTTGCAGTTAAATTATGTTTTTCAGAACTGTCCTGCCTTGGAATCAGGCATTTTACGCAGCATTCGCTAACAATGGTTAATGCAATGTTAACCGAATGGTTGATGAAGTAACAAAAGTATTATTATTTGGAGTAAATAACCAAAAGCATTATTGTGGTGTTTTTAGATAGATAAAATGAATTAATCTACTAATCTAGTACCGCAATTTGGTTTTGAAAATGGTAAACAAACCGACAATCCTTGACGTGAAAATTAATGTGCATTTTCCATCTTCATTTGTTCATTCAGATACCAAAACAGATCCAAAAGGATGTGAACAGTAATTTCTGGACCAATCTGCACTTAGGAGAGCAGTTAGTTTGTGGATATGGGGGTGTACATGCATTTTAGAAAGCACTTTCTAAAGGCGATAAAAACAACATTATAGACTATTCTAGAACATCCGCAGGAAAGAATTGAAGAATCCTGCTGATATCAAGAATTGCTGGCTATTCCACTGACATGCAATCACAAACCATCTGATGAAGCCTATTATTTGTGTACTGCAGAGTCATCAGGAAATATCTTCCCCACAAATCAAGCAACTCTTCAGAGAAAACCAAGCCACAAACGTTTAGTTAGAAAGTGACTTCTGTTTTTCCTAAGGTCTATCTTTCTTATATTTTAAATAATTTTGCTGCCATTAATTTGGCAGACCTATCCATACATTCTTACCGCAGAAGTATGGGTCATTGGAACCCTGCAGAAGTCAAGTCATTGGACTGAGACATAAAACCAGTATGGTATTAGTATTGCTTCTTTCCCAGTTCTGAAATTGTAAGGTCATCTACAAAGCCAAAGCTCTGGAGAAGAACAGGGACTTCACTGTGTTCTATCTATATTATACGCTATATCCAATATATGTATGATTTTTCTCTTTTAATAGAATTTCTCCTTCCTACGGCTACCCATAATCTCTGCACACGCCGGTGAAAGTTGCTTCAGGAGGCCCAACTTTCTGCAGATTTGGGAGGCTTAGAAAGGAGGGGATTAAAAATCCATTTTGCCAGCCAAATAACACTTTAGAAATATTATCATTTTTCTTGCTGTATAGTCTTGAGGGAAGTTTTTAAACATAACAAACATCCTCATCTCAAACTATCTATCTGAGAATTTACCATTATGAACAGTTGGGATGATAGTCCTAGAGCAGATCGTCCCTCCTGATTATAGTACTTTTTGGGTTATGTTCTTACACTTAAAAATAAAATCAACTTAATATTTTAAAGCATTCCATTTTTCAAACTGGCTTTTGACACAGAACAAGATATTCTATTTTAGTATGCGCACAAAGTAAATGCATTTTTAAAATAAGTTCTGCCTTTTTAAAAGATGCACAGAACTGTTAACTCTCTCTGAAAGGCTGAGGTTCAAAAATTTAAAAAATGGCTAACAATCATTCTTAATATGCTGTTAAGAATTGCACTTCCTTATGATTCTTATAAAGCTGTATACAGATAATCCTCAACTTACAACAGTTCATTTAGTGACTGTTCAAAGTTACAACATCACTGAAAAAAGTGACTTCTGACCGTTTTTCACACTTATGACCACTGCAGCATCCTCATGGTCACGTGATCAAAATTCAGATGCTTGGCAACTGACTCGTACTTATGATGGCTGCAGTGTCCCAGAGTCAATGTGATCAACTTGTGTGATCTTCTGACAAGCAAAATCAATGGGGAAGCCAGATTCACTTAACAACCATGTTAGTAACTTAACAGCTGCAGTGATTCACTTAACAACTGTGGCAAGAAAGGTCGTAAAATGAGGTAAAACTCACTTAACAACTGTCTTGCTTAGCAACAGAAATTTTGGACTCAATGGGATTGTCATATTTGCTTTTCTTTGACTAAAATTAACAATATGGGCAGGAATGGGGATTTCTATTACAGAAGAAAGATTTCTTTGCAAATATTTCTATATACTGGGACAGGAGTCAATGTCAGAATCCAACCAGGCTATGACATTTGTACTGCCACAGCCAACATGACAACAAATGGCTTTGTTTTCTGCTGGAAGTCTGGTATTGCAGTGATGGTCTGCTGTACAAGAAAGGACTTCAAGATGGATATAAGGGCTGCCTTGTTTCTGTATAGAGCCACAAACTATTTATTTATTTATTTGTTTGTTTGTTTGTTGGTTGGTTTGCAGCAACTAGCAGGTCCAACTTCCCAATGAAAGGCTATTGTACCTCCATGGCGCCTTTCTGCCTTGAAATCTGTCCCATATCATTACAGATGAGAGTGAGGGACTGAATTTAGGTTGGCAATCTAAAGCTACCTCAGAGAACACGAACACGTTAGAGCAGGGGTCTCCAACCCCCGGGCCGTGGACTGGTACCGGGCCGCGGCATGCCAGCAACCGGTCCGCACAAACAAGCAAAGCCCCATCTGTGGGATGCAGGCAGCACACAAAATCATGCCCCCTCCGGTCTGCGGAAAAACCTTTCTCCACAGAACCGGTTCCCTCGTGTCCAAAAGGTTGGGGACCTCTGCGTCAGAGTGCTTTGAGATCAGCATTCTACTACTCCTAAATGCAAAATATAATGGTCTACTATAGCAACTGGATTATTTGATAGGCCTCTAGAGGGCAATATTTCATCAATATTAACTGTCTTCCCAGATGATGCCAATGACTTGTTATGTTTATACTGTAGTTAAAGTGGAAAGACTGATGAAAAAATAACAATAAAAAGTGTTGGCTATTTTGACAGCCTCCCAAACTAAACTGACTGAAATTTGCCAAAAGCAACAAGCTTGGAAAAAACAAATTGATTTCTGGCAGGGAAAATTGAAAGAGGAGTTTTAAAGGAATCAAGGATCATCATGGATCTCGGTAATAAGGGAATTAAGCGTATTGTAAAGGAAAATTGTGGAGTTTTTTTTTCATTCAGCATACTATGCTGATTTAAAAAGTTGCTTACCAAAACAGAATACATCGCTGTATTCTTTGACTGGCTATAGGCTACTCAGATAACCTCATGGTAAAGCAGTCATATTGCACAAATGTCAAAGCTGCAGGTTGCTTTCCATGATCAAATTTAATGATCCTTCTATTCGGATGTTGACATATCATTCCTAACAGGGCAGAATGTTTACGTAGTTCATGGCTATCTGTTTCTTATTTTTATTCATACATACAAATATGTATTTTTCATATGAGCTGCCTTTCTATCTTAAAAAGTTAGGGAACTATAAAAGTCTTATGGAGATTCTCAGTCCTCTAGGTCAGGGGTAGGCAACCTTGGCTCTTTTATGATTCGTGGACTTCAACTCCCAGAATTCCCGAGCCAGCATGGCTGGCTCAGGAATTCTGGGAGTTGAAGTCCACGAGTCATAAAAGAGCCAAGGTTGCCTAACCCTGCTCTAGGTCATGGGTTGCTCCCAAAGGTGCTTTTTCAGGAGGCAACTGGACTTCCTTGTTTTTCTTTGAAGACGTTTCTCTTTTCATCCAAGAAGCATCTTCAGTTCTGACTGGATGGTGGGGAATGGAAGGATTTATATTGCTTGCAGACAAGGAAGGAAGATATATAAATCCTTCCATTCCCCACCATCCAGTCAGAGCTGAAAAAGCTTCTTGGATGAGAAGAGAAACATCTTCAAAGAAAAACAAGAAAGTCCACTTGCCTCCTGAAAACGCATCTTTAGGGAACTATAAAAGGTGCTATTCATTTTTAAATGAACTAAAATTCATGGAATGAGTATTTGTAATGGAACTAATAAGCATGATGCAACTACAGAGATTTCACAGTACAGAGTGGAATTTTCCTTAAATCAATTAAGAGCTGATGAAATCATGTAACAGATACAATGGAAGATTTGTCTATATGGACAATCTAATCTTTCTTGTATTATTCATTATTTATCTTTTTAAACTTTTAAACAATATTTATATATTAATATATTTTTAATTACTATAGATCAGGGGTGTCAAACTGCCAGCCCATGGGCTGGTTTCATCATACCGGAGCCGCGCCCACCCCATTGCCGGCAATGGCGAAAAAGCTCCGATACGTTGCACGACATCATGTGATGTCGCGAGTTTGACATGTCTGCTATAGATAGTTTTGTTTTAAACTGCTATTGTATTCAACATTTAAATAATGATAAAGTATGTGACTGATGGATGTTTCTGCTACTTTCATTTGTCCTTGGTCATAGGGACAAAATACATTTAATCGAGTAAGTGCAAGTTATATTTCTAAGGATTTTCAAGCTTTTCAATTGGAATGATTGTTGTAAAGAGCCTAGTGCTGTTTTGGATCCTGGAGCTCCCCTGCCCCCACTCAGCCATATTTCTTGCCATTTGTTAGTTCTTTGCCCCATGTAATCCATGTTTATATCTTTTATTAGGGAAAAAAATCAATGGGAACTGACATGCTATAGAGGGAAGCACACACTTAAATTAAGATGTCCAGCAGGCCCAAGGGATTTATAAAATAATGTGCTGTCCAGTGATGGGTTTGGCTTCTAGTAAGTAGGTGTTTTGAAACTAACCAGAATCCTCTTGGGAACCATTTGGGGAAAATGCCCCTCCCTCCTGCCCCCTCTTTGAAGTGTCCAAGTGTCCCACTAGCTCCAAAAGGCTAGAGACCCTTGATTTTGCGTTTTGACAAGGTTAGAGGCTTGCTCGGGGTATATATAAACCCAGTCATTCTTTATAACATGTGAACTACCACTGCGTATCAAATGAAATCGTAAATTTTACTGGCTTAACTCATTTTTACCTTCCTTTTATGATTTTTATTGAAGCTCTTTTCACAGTAACTAGTTTTGAAAGGCCTTGGAATTGGTTTAGTACATGGTCCCCCTGGGGAGTTTTTCAAGTAATGCTGTTGTACCTTTTCATGAGGTCTCAAAAGAGGCTCAAGAAGTGATTTCATTGCAAACAAACAAGAACGAACAAACAAACTGGCATTACCTGCTCTGACAAGCTGCTGTTGCTGTATTTTTTAGACATTCTTTTCTTCATGGTTTCTTTTACTGATTTCACCTTCTTGCCAAGGGATATGCGGGAAGTCGAAGGGGACTTGATCACTTCTTTGTAGACAAAATCACCGTCCTTTCCCTGACAAAAGAAAGGGAAGTTGAAACAAAGAGAAGCTTCCCATCTTCATCCTTCTATAGCCATCCTCAGACTCACTATACCTTACAAAGATTGTTCAAATTGCAGATTCCCAAAACACTTTATTTATTTATTTATTAAAAAAAATTATTATAAAGCTGCCCAACTCATAGATAGGTCACTCCAGGAAGCTTACAACATTTTTTTAAAAAATCCACCATATACTAAAAACCCATAAAAAATACCATCCACAGACATCCCCCCCATCTTCCATGGCGGCAACAATACAATCAAATCAGCCACTTGAGCAGCTCCATTTGTGATCCCTAGGCTAACAAAATCACTTTTTAAGGTCTTTCAGAACAGCAACAGGGTGAGGGCCAACTGGAGCTCAGAGGGAATGATGTTCCATAAAGAAGGGGCTATCACCAAGAAGGCCCATCTTCATGGTCCCACCAGATGTACATTCCTAATTGATCAGATTCATAACATGTTCTGCCTTCCCATTCTGGTGAGCTGGGTGGATGTAAGAGGGGAGAGTTATATATTGTTCTTCTAATCAGACCACTTTTTCCGGGAATCTGTGCTTCCCCTTTGACAATATTTGCAATATTTTCCTTGAAATTCCTCTCGGTGGAAGGATTAATGGAAGAAAGGGCAATTAGTTATTATACGTTGACTACCCTATGATGCTTGTCTCCCAATTCTTAAGCCATCACTTAAAATGTCATTGTGAGTTACTATCCATCATCCTGTAGTATAACAATCCTGATGGGCATTGAGCCAGAATAAACTATTACATACAAAGAGGGACAAATGTCACCACATAGCCAATATATTCAAATTAGCCACCTATATTGGTTTTAATGTTATACTCATAGACAGAATGCTAAATAACATAATTCCTGCCTGCATGCATTTTTATTGAATAACACAATAAAATCCAATCATTTTCCATTAAGCATGTCTCTGCTGACTCCAAGAGAGAAACATTAGAAGTGTACCCCATTCATAAGTTCCTTGTATGGAACTCATTTATATCAATATTGCTCAATATATATTGTTCTTCAGATAATTTTCCTTTTTTCTTGTCCTTTCTTTTTAAATATTTTGGAAGCTATGAAAAACTATTTGAAATGCAGCTCACATCCTGTATCTGTTACTTGCACATTAAGATCAATTTTCAGAATACTCTTGATTTTTGGCTGAGATGAATGCTTGTTTATAAGGTTAATTCTGAGTTCTGCCTGCCTAAATTCTATAGAGATTTAACTGACCATAGCTAACCTCAAGCATATTCTTATGGCGGCAGTGTTAATCTAATGCTCAAGTGCAATGTCAAAGGCTGCCAAGGGAAGCATAATATTTATTGGTCTTCGGATAAATAATCTCTTCTTCTGGGTTACTTTGTGGTAACATCCCCACCAAGTAAAATTATGGATACTGAATAGGAAAAAAGAACATCTAGTGAAGATTACACAACCTTCAAGCAATAAATGGACAGGAGAATGGTCAAGAAAGCTGGGAACAACTAGGATGAAGGGCAACAAGAACCGTTTTAGATTAATGAGTAAAGCAACTGCAAACTGGATCAGATTAATTCTGGCCCAACCAGACCCAGTCTCATATTGTCAGAATTCAGATGCCTTTGGGAGTTCACATGGCAAGAACATAGAAAGGCCTACCACCCTGAAATATTTTTGGTGAATTTGCCATTCATAACCCTGGCCAGAACTATTAATAGGGATTTCCAAAAAATTAATGAGCTGTCAGAAGAAGTGTTTCAGTTTGCACTTCTGGAACCTGCTGTAGAACAGCTTAATGAAATGGCTTTAGGTTCCATAGATCAGGGGTCTCCAACCCCCAGTCCGTGGACTAGTACCGGGCTGCGGCATGCCAACAACTGGGCCGCACAAACAAGCAAAACCCCATCCGTGGGATGCAGGCAGCACACAAAACCACGCCCCCTCCGGTCTGCGGAAAAACCTCTCTCCACAGAACCAGTCCCAGGTGCCCAAAAGATTGGGGACCTCTGCCATAGATGGATGAAGATAGAAAAATTCCCAACTAAAACAAGGATTGATAGAAGGCCTTCGTTTTGGGCAGGGGAGCTCCAAACTCTAGCAAGAACCTGCTAACTGGTTAATATCCTGAAGTCTTCTTTCGTATGCGTGTGTTCTAGAGATCCAGCCTCATGCAGCTGTGTATCACCCCCACCCTCCTGAGACTTTCCATCTGGCCAGGGATTCAGCCCAGATGTTTTCAGAGACATTTCCGTCTCTCCTCTATAGAGATCACTCTGTGGCAATTCAGGAACTCAATGGTTTGGATACACTTGGAAAGGAGAAGGATGTGTTTTAGTAACGGAATCACAGATTAATGTCAATGCTCTCTTGCCTGTCCTACTAAATCCCCAAATGCTCAACAAAACCACAAAATTGGCTCCTGGAGCAGGAAAAACCAATCTAGATACACAAAAGCATGAAAAAAAAAATGAAAGGGGAAAAAAAAACAGTCCCAAAAAAAACAAGCAAAAGAACATCACAGTCATTCATGAGAAAGTCTTGCCTAATGTTAAAAGGAATATTAACGATTCAGAGTGAAATTATACATCAGCGTCAATTTCTCAAAATAGGGTTCTGTGAACATATGGATGAGTTGCCATTCAGCTATTCAGCACAAAAGGCAGCAATACTTAGAGACAAGAGGATGAGATCAACTCCCCACCCCACCCCCTTTTTAATTCAAGACTCCCAGAGAATCCCCAAATCAAATCAGAAACGCACTGCTTCCCACAACTTTCTTTTCTTGACCTACATTTCCCTTGTTACTTCCATCTCACTGTCACATGGCAGTGAGAATTTATATACGTTATATAAATAACATTCCTTCCTTTGTTCTTTCTTGCTCTTCCCATCTGTCTAAATCCTGTCCATTCTCCAACCCAAAGTTCATTTGAATAAGCAATTCATTGGCAGAAAAATCAAAAAGAAAGGTTTTTAGACATAACTTTCTATTATGGCAGTCTACAAGAAATGCAAATAATGCTCTTGAAATGCAAGTTTCTCATATGCAGAAAAAGCAATTGCTACCAGCCTGCCTTCCATTGAGGACCTGTATACTGCATGAGCAAGAAAGAGAGCTGTAAAAATATCTACAGACCCCTCACATCCTGGACACAAAGTATTTCAACTTCTTCCCTCAAGAAGACGCTATAGGGCAGGGGTAGGCAACCTTGGCTCTTTTATGACTCGTGGACTTCAACTCCCAGAATTCTTGAGCCAGCATAGCTGGCTCAGGAATTCTGGGAGTTGAAGTCCACGAGTCATAAAAGAGCCAAGGTTGTCTACCCCTGCTATAGGGCATTGCACACCAGAACGACTAGACACAAGGACAATTTTTTTCCCCATGCCATCACTCTGCTTAGCAACTAATTCCTACAACACTGTCAAAATACTTAGTAAAGCTGTATTACTATGATACTCCTCATCTTTCCTATTACCTATCCTTATCTTATGACTATAACTTTGCTGCTTGTATCTTACAATTTATATTGTTTTTTTTGTACCCTAGTATGATTTATGTTGTTTGCTTAGCTAGTAGTCTATGACTATCACTGTGTTGCATCTTATGATTTATGATGCTGTATGATGAATGTATTTTCATGTTGTATATGATTTATGATGAATGTATTTTCATGTTGTATATGATCATGGTTATCACTATTACTTGTATGTACACTGAGAGCTTATGCACCGGAAACAAATTCCTTGTGGGTCCAACTACACTTGGCCAATAAAGAATTCTATTCTATTCTATTATTGTTGGTTGAGCATTTCTAACTTCTGCAACACAAATCAATGGCTATGAATTTTAAAAAGCTGTTTTGATTTTCATGCGTGAACTGCAATTGTTTTTCAATTGAAATAGATATACACTCAATAACATAAAACTGGTAACAGTCTGGAAAAATTTAATTTCTTCATTCCTGTTCATCACGCAAGACCAGTGATATGTGTAGTCCTTCAAGAACTAAACATGATGATCCCAGCTGCCTAGTCCCACTGCCTATAGTCAAAGCGGCAACCCTAAGAAAAAGGGAGATCTGTAAGATGATTCAGGACAATAAAATAGAACCTTACATTTTAAATTGGAAGTTCTCAAAGAAAATTATTGGCTCAGTCTTATGTATTAGCATCAAACAACTTGGAAACAATTCAATTCACTACTGAACATTTTCTCAATGTGATATCCTTCCTAAGCAGGGCAAAAATGTATACAGGATGGAGTTATGCTCTTCATGTCCTCACATTTTCTTTATCTTTGCCTTCCCCAGCTTTGTTTGCAGCTGAAATATGGGAATATAGAATATGGGAAGAGGAACTATATATTTGCTGAGACATATCTGTACTCTGTTCATTGAATTCAGGAATATGCTGAGAGCTGTCCAAGTGAATACAGATTCCCTTCAGGCCTCTTCAGAATGATTAGTGAGAAAGCAAGGGTAGAATAAGTAAATGTGAAAATTGGACTACTATGCATTAGACACTACACCTTTCCTATGCTTTTGGCTCCAGTTTAGTTTTAATCAGCTTATTTTGGAATACTTTATTCATTGGATAGAATAACTTGATGAAGAGGGAGGATGATTTTCACTCATCTGATACTCTTAGTTAAGCTAAATATCCTGACTGGCCAATAAAACCATGGCAAATATGGTTGGAATAGTTGACTTTTACTAGCTATCTTATTCTTCTTGTAGAATAAATACTAATGCTTTCTAATTGCCTAGGAAACACCCCATTTCACCTGTCCTCGTGTTAACAATTATCATAGTTTTCTGAATGGTCACAAGATCGAATAAAAAAAATCTTGTTTGACATATAGATTGACAAGCTTCCTCTGAACTAAATTTTTATTCTTTTGGAATTTCAAAGACTGAGTCATCTCCTAATGTTTTCTAGTAGTACAGTCCTTGTCACTCTCATAATTTTATGACATTCTGCTACACATCTTCCTTTTGAATAGAAAAAAATTAAAAAACATAATTTAAAACATCCATATCCAACTTTTTGTTAAATTTTAAAAGTTTATGATCTTAGGGAGTTTCATTACTAATTGTCCAGGATTGCATGTGGCCAAAGTACAAAATGATGTTCAGAATTACACAGAGCATTGTCTGGTATTAGTGTTTGATTAATAAGCATGTCATGACACTTTTGGACATTCATTTTAGTGCTAATAATTTTCTCTGGTATTAATACATTATTCATGTAGTCAAAGAGCATCATACACCACAATTATTATAGCATGATGTGGTTATACCTAAAAAGATCAAAATAGTGCAAACCATGGTATTTCCTGTGAGATCTTCAAAATGCATAATAGAAAGAGTATTTTCACTTTTGAACTTTGAATTGGAGGAGATTCCTGAGAATACCAAGGACAACCAATAAAACAAACAAATGGGATCATCAAATAAATCAACCCAGAGTTCTCACTTAAGGCATAAATGAACAGGTTCAAATCATCCTACTTCAGGCATATTGAAAAAAAAACTATCATTCTGGAAAAGAGTCTAATGCCGGGAAAGGTGGAAGGAAAAAGAGAAGATGACCAGAAGCAAGGTAGATGAATTCATTTAGAATGGTGATGGGTGTATCATTGGAAGACCTGAATGAACCAGGTTAGGGACAGATTGTCATGGAGAAAATCTATCTATAAGGTCACTATGAGTCGATACCAACTTGATGGCAAATCAATCAATCAATCAATCATAAAGATATTTGTCATTAGAAAATGACGTCTTTTGAAATGCAATATAAAAGTATGAAGAAGCAGCTCAGTCTATTATAATTGAAAATGGATATTATCCTCCTGGGTCTTCTAGCTACTTTTATAGCAAATCCAAATTTATAGCATTTTAATTTTGAAACACATTACAAACACCACCGTTGGGCTGTATGAATGTATCTTATGACTGAATGTCATACTCACAATTTGATCTGAACTGTTTCCAATGTGCAGTGAGCGATTTGCCAAATCAAAGCCACCAAAGCTGCAGGTTCTCTGTGAAATAAGGCAAATTCGTAATATTTTACCACAAAATCCGCATGGTGTCAATTGTTTTCTTGGGCAGAGAAGACACTAGAGAAATGTCTCACTTGTACAAATAACAGCAGCAAGCATGAAAAAATGTTTTGGATTATGTTCATGCATCATGTCCCCTTCCTGGTCTTTTACTAATTATTTTATTGCTTCAGGATCTTCAATAAAGGAGTATTAAAAGGATTTCCTAAGTGAGGAATAGTTTTACATAGCCCATGTTTTGGGAGTCATTTAGGTACAGAATATTAACAACAACAAAATGTTCCACTTTAATGGTACTAGAAACAGACAAAAGCTTTGAAATTTTAAGCATCTGATTCAATGGTTGATCACTCAATAATGACTTCTTCCATCTCTGAACAAATGACAATTTCCATTTTCAGAGACTCCATATCTGTAACCAAGGCCTGTATGGAACAAAGCAGTTTTCATACAACTACAAGATGGAATACAGTAGGTGATATGTGCAGTGGCATAATCTTGCAGAAGTAATTAGAGAAATGAGTTGTTCTCAGAGAAACATCTCAAGCAAGAAACACTGACAACTGAATAGAATAATTTTGCTTGCCTAAACAGGTCAGTGTAATGACACTAATTTTCTTTTCAAAGCTGAAAAACACAGTCAAGTGAAAGCATATTTACTTGGTGCTTAATAATGATCCTCATATGTAAAGTGTTCATTATTGAAAAGACACTAGTCCTTTGGAGCTCAATAGAACTGCCCTGTTCCCTTTCAGTTCTACAATGCAGATGTTTGCCTTTTCCAGAAATAAATTGGCTCTCTATTTCTGTCTCTTGATCTATGCATTTACACCTTGTCCTTCAACCTTAATCCCTCTGCTTTTCTTCATCTTATAGAAAAACAACAAGAACAACAACACATCGGGACATGATTATCCTCCATCATATACTTTATAAATAATAAATACTGTAAATAAATGAGATATTTGTAATATATGTAATATCTCATTATTATGTCTGTTACCAATTAATACATTGCTAAAAGCCAATTATAAGCTCTACCAGACAACCTATATAAAGTATGTTTTTATCCTTAACAAACAAGCCTTTGCTGGTGAACATGTAATTGTATTTCTTCCTGAAAATATCCATTTAACAAGATAGTCAACAACAAAGGAATGCTATAACAGTTTTAAAAAGTTAACTCAGAAAGTTCACATCATCTTTTAATATCAAACAAGGATTACATTTGGGGGATCTTCATGTATTTTTGTATGAACATGTATGCAAGCAGTGAGCATGTATGACAGAATTCACAGTTGGCATGGATGGTATATGGAATCATAAACACACAAAAAACTTCTCACAGTTAAAAGCTTTTTAACAATATGCTATATTTCAAGGAACTGTATCGTTATGCTTGCTATTGGACATACAGCTCATTACTTTCATTTATTTCACAAAAACATGCTAAATAAAACTGTTGATGGAAAGACTGTAGACTCTTAAATGAAATGATCATGCACATACTTTAAAAGTTCTAGGCATGCCTTGGGCCACTAAAATAAATTTAAATGCCCATAACATATATAACAGCAACACATGTAATCAGTCCTATTGACAAGGGGTACCATAGCTCCTGAGGTTGCAGTAAACATGAATTATGATCTTAGAGAAAAACAGTGTAGAGTAGTGCCTAAAATTCACAAGCAGGGTATAAAGTATCTGATCTTCATAAAAGAGGGCTTAATCCAAGTTTTTATATGAAAAAAGGAAGAGATATAGCTTTTTCTCCAAGAATGCAATCCAAGCACATCCTAGTTTATATTATATTATATTATATTATATTATATTATATTATATTATATTATATTATATTATATTATATTATATTATATTATATTATATTATATTTATTATATTATATTATATTTATTATATTATATTATATTATATTATATTATATTATATTATATTATATTATATTATATTAATTTATTAGACCAGTGGTTCTCAACCTGTGGGTCGGGACCCTATTTGGGGTCGATCGACCATTTCACGGGGGTCGCCAAGCAAGGCTGTCCGCCATTTTTTTGTCTGTCATTTTTTTTGTCCGCCATTTTTTTCCCCTTTTCCGGCGGGTGCCTTACCTCCCTTGGGCTGGGCCAGCTGGTGGTCGGCCTGCTCCGTCTCTTCCGCTTGCCAGCTACGCCTCGGCTGGCGCAGGGGGCGGAACCACGCATGCGCGGTGCTCCCGGGCAGGGAAAGTCCTCGACTTACGACCGGTTGGGTAGTCCTCGACTTACGACCGGTTTAGTCCTCGACTTACGACCGGTTTAGTCCTCGACTTACGACCGGTTGGGGTCGCGGCATTAAAAAGGTTGAGAACCACTGTATTAGACCAATTTATATAACTACCCCTCTCACAAGCAAGCAATTCTGGGCAAGGTACAACAGAGCTAAAAGGTGTTAATAAATACATTAAAATATGAAAACCCAAACTAAAACAAAGAATAATAGACAAAGGGATGTTAACAATAACAGAGCACCTCACTATTGTAGTTCACACATTCCTGGGGACCCCAGCCCTGCTGGCATAACCAGATCTTGAGGGATCTCCAGAAACTCAACACTGACAAGGGTAGATGGTGGGGTGGGGGTGGGCAGGAGAGATCCCACAGTCTGGGTGCCACAGCAGAAAAGGCCTGGCACCTACACTTATCTAGTATTTCCCAGGCTATAGCAGGGGTGTTCAACTGTGGCAACTTTAAGATCTGCGGACTTCAACTCCCAGAATTTGAACACACCTGGGCTATAGGTTGTAGGTATGTAGACTCCCTAGGTCACATCATATAAGAATGTTCAATTCCTGCTACCAATATTGGCAGTACACAGTAAGTAATAGTAACGGGCTTATAATCAGATAATTTGCAGGACAAAATGTTAAGGTTGTTTTTTTTAGAAAATATGTTATTGCTTCTTATATAAGCACATAATGTGCACAAAAGTGTATTTCACCATTTGAAATATTCTCTACATACCATCTTCGTCAAATAAATTATTTTAATAAAATATGTTACACTGTAGGGCAGAAACAATTAACATATAAAGCATTGAAGAAAAAGAATAAATTGTCCTAGAAAAAAAATATTACAGCTTTACAATGGCTATTAGCCAACTGCAGCCATAGTTTACAAATTTGCAAAAAATGAGATTTTGTCAGTCAGAATCAATTTTCTTTCCTTAAGTTTCTTGGAACGCTAGTCATGATTGCCTCAACCCAAGACCTTGGTTCAAAAATACAATCCAGTTATGAACTCCCCAGATGGCTTTATATCCCTGGCTCTCATCCTTACTTTCCTATCTCTGAGCTGGGAAATAAATGTTTACAGAGCAATTATGGCCTGCAATCCTAAGCATATTTGCCAGGGCAAAGGATCTATACAGATCTTTGCCTGGTGAAAATTAAGAGTGACAATCTTTTTTTTTTTTAATAATCACTGAGAACCATATTTTCTGAGAAGAAAGTTATCAATAGCTACATAATGTGATGATGGATGGATCCTCAGTCAAAAAAAATGGTAGGATCCCCCTTTTCCCTCTCTATTTCTATCTCTTTCTTCTTTATGTGTATCCTTTTCATTTATCTATCGATTTTCTCTTCAGTTCACTGCTTTCTTTTCTCTTTTTTACACACATACAAATACCGTACTTCTCCCTTCCACCGCACCTAGTCAGCATACAGAGATAAAGAATAAGCTGAGATTCCAATACGAGTCCCTCCACTTCTTCCACCCCTGCATGAATCGCAATGTTTAAAGGAGTTAATGATGCAGAGTACACAGAAATATGATTTTTCTCCACATCACCCACTCATCACCACTACTAGCTTGGCAGCTGGGAAAACCACAGTTATGCCAAGATCGCAATGCATGGGAATTGCTTTTCCTGGGTATTGTCATCTGCAGCATAATGAGCTGATTGGTGGGCTTGCAGCCTTGCGACTGTGCCAAGAAAAATAATGGAAATGACCCCTCCCACCTTTTCTTCTCCAGTGGAATCATCATGCTGCAAATCTTTCTAAAGGGCTTGAGAATTTGTTAAGGAGCAATGACACTGGCAGAAGCTTATGATGGGCTGCTCTCATCAGAGGGGCTCTGAAGAAATATGGGAGCCAGCACAGAAAAAACAAACATATCAAGTACATGTGGGATATTTGGAAAGATACAAAAAAATGCCTCCCAAAAAGGAAGGAATGAAGATCCTGCTCTAGTTTCATCCATGTAGCATTTCTATTCCTTTTTAGGAAAGATTCACAGCACCTTTTCATCAGTCAGATGGAGCCAATTTGAGAGAAGGTGGGCTTTTTTTGGTCAATCTAGCAGGGTAGAAATGTGAATTGTAACATACACCTAAAATTCTGTATCTGTAAATCTGAAGCAGACCTTTCTCCACATGATGGGCCAGACAACATCATCTGAACCATCTCACATTACCTGAGTTCAGAATCTATCATCTGCGTGCACAGGCATTAATTAGAATTATATTTATTTTGTTTTAGATTTATCCTGCCTTTATTCTTTTTATAAATAACCCAAGGTGGTAAACCCGAGTTTCCACTTCCTCCTCCTATTTTTCCCAGAACAACAATCTTGTGAGCTGAGTTGGGCTGAAAGAGAGTGACTGGCCCAAGGTCACCCAGCTGGTGTTCATGGCTAAGATGGGACTAGAACTCACAGACTCCCACTTCTTCTAGCCTGGTGCCTTAACCATTGCACAAATGGGTTCTATGTATTTAGTTATATATTTATTTATTTCTTCTTACTATTGTTGATTCAAGCAAATATGGAACATATTTGTCTCAATATTTATTCGAATATCTCATTGGCCAGTAATTAGGAGAGGACTGAGGGAAGAGAAAAGAAAGGCAATGAAATGTTAAGCCCTTTCAAACATGGAAAAAAAACCCAAGCAATGCTGACTGCAACCTCATGGGAGCTTGTGGCCACCTTTGGTGAAAACTCACAGACTTTTGGTGGATTCTCAAAAGAACCCTTTTTGTACAGCGATCGACTGTAGCAGCCCACTTCCTCTTTGCCGCCGCCTCTTCCTCCAGTAGGCACCGCCTCAACTCCTGTTCTTCACTTTTGCTCAAGGTTCTGTCAGTCATGGGCCGCACCAGATGCGATAGGTTGAGGTGACTGTACAGGCTTCTTTCCACCACATATGTGATATTGAACTCGCTGACTGAATTGCACCCTCGAAGCCTTCTGTTGGAGAAGCCACAGCTTCCACCTCTTCCTAGCCTCTTGGGTTTGTGATGAAGCAGCTGCAGATCGCAGATGGAAGGCGATACACCTTTCCTAGCAGGACGCTGACAGAGAAAAGCTCTAGAACATGAATAATTAGGATCTGCCTTTTTTAGCCGGATCTGCTTCCTGATACTTTGGATTTCCTCCAAAGATACCAGGACATGATGCTTGCACCTGCTGTCATAAAAGCAAATGCTTTCTTTACTTACCCCATGACTGAGAGAGCCAAGGTTCTTCATTTCTCCATCTGTTAAAGAACGGCAAACTTTGGGTATTTTATCCTCTTCCGGATAAGAAAAGAATGTCCCAAGCTTTTTGGGGGGTTTTATAAGGCCACGACTATCAGATTTACTGAAGGTCTTAAGCAATTTCCTGTTTGTACCCCAAGTGTCCAGGCTGCTAGATGAAGGAGATAAGGTCAGTGAATCACTTTCATTATCTGGCTGTTTTTCAGAGGAATTATCCAAAATGAGTTGCTTCTTGTGAATTCCAGAGTAAAGTGCAGATCTACCATCTGGTCCTGCGGGAGTATCAAAGGAGTGTTCATCCACACCTGAAAGGGAATATGCCATTATATTAGTTCTCACTAACTAATGGAGAGGGAGGGAGGGAGGGAGGGAGGGAGGGAGGGAGAAGTATATCATCAGTCATTTTTTCCCCAGTGCCGTTGTAACTTTGAACGGTGACTAAATGAACTGTTGTAAGTCAAGGACTACTTGCAGTTGAATAACAGAAGAATCTGGGCACCATCAAGGAATAAAACAGATGCAATAGAAGCAATACTGGCATACTGATGTATATCTCAACAATATTAGATGATTTTTGGAGAAAGCCAACTCTCTGCAGAAAATAAATTAACCTAACTTAAATAATTAAATTTCAATCCTAATAATACCAAAAGAAAAAATAATCCAATAGTGAAAAGCTGAAAGGAATAGAATTTGCTGTGCAAGGATAAATTCAGCTATTTATATGTAATTAATAAAGTAAAATGAGAAATAGATAGGAAGTTCAAAGGAAAACCGGTGTGATGATGGGAGTACAGATACAGAAGACTGAGTTTATGAATGAAAGAGGAATGCAGTGAATGATCTGTCAGTTTTCATATATTTAAAGCAGGGGTGTCCAAACTTTTTTCAAAGAGGGCCAGATTGGATGAAGTGAACGTGCTGGAGGGCTGAACATTTTTCCGAACATTCTTTGAACCATTACAATTAAATGCAAATGAATTATTTTATGCCAAGTTAATTGCAAATGGCATACTTTCTCTTTTCTCCTTCTTTCTCTTTCTTTCCTCTTTTTCCTCTCCCTCTCTCTCTCTCTCTCTCTCTCAACAACAAGGATGGCCACAATAATTGGGCCACGAAGCGCAACTTCCCCCAGGAGGCAGAAAGAATTCGGGCAAGCTGCGTTTTGGAGATCAGGCCGGGGCTCAGTCAAGCCCTCGCGGGGCGCAATTAGGGGCGGCTCCGTGGAGTCCCGGATGCCTGGCTCACGGAGGAAGCCGGCAGGGAGCCCACAATTAGCGGGCCTGCCAGAAGCGGTTGAGGTGGACACCCCTGCGGCACTCAGGCAGCCCCCGAGCTTCCCGCCGAGCCAGATGGGATTCCTGGCCAGCCGGCCACAGGGCAGGAGCGGCTCCCTCGCTGGGGCTGCTTGGCCTCCCTGGCCGGCTGGCCAGTCCGGCCTTTCCAGGGCCAAATCCTGCAGGCTGCGATTCGCACAGCCCCGGTCCAGAGGAGCGCCGTCGCCCCGGTGGACGGGGGGCTGGGAGGGGTAAGCCCCTTTCGATGCCCAGAAAGCAGCGCTTCCTCTCCTGCTCCGGGCGTGGGAAAATGGGCGGAGGTCCTGGGATGGCCAAGCGTGTGGGGGGGCAGGAGGCAGCAGAAGGCGCCCAGGGCACCACGGACTGGCTCGGGGAGACGCGTGGCCGGCTCGGCTGCCCAGGCAGGGAGCGGCCTGGGGACGGTCCAGGGAGCGATGCCCCCACCAGCCGCCACCCCAGCAAGGACTGTCGCGCGGCCCAGCCCGGGGAGACACGTGGCCGGCTCGGCTGCGCAGGGAGCGGCCTGGGGACAGGCCAGGAAGCAATGCCGCAGCCAGGACTGCTGCCTGGTACAAGTAAGCTGGGGGGGTTGCCACCCGCCCCGTGGCCGCTTCACGGCGGTGCTCTGCAGACTCAGAGCTCCCTCCCTCCCCCCCTGCCACTGACCTTCCATCTCCGGCTCTGCTGCTGCTTGGCCAATGGTTGCGCCGGCTGGACATTGCAGGGCTGCTCTCTCTCGAGGCTGCAGCTTACAGGAGGGCTGACCCACTCAGCAAAGGCTCTGGGGGGGTTGCTCCCAGCGGGGATCCCGGGGCTTCCCTGCATGGCTCCCCAGCCACGTGCGCCTGGGACGGGGCCAGCCCGGGAAAGGGACTTCCTGGCCGCCCTTCTCCCAGGGGGCGGGGCACCCGGGCGCAGGGCCAATGAGGAGCCCTGCAAGGGGGCAAGTCCCATGAGAGAGAGAGAGAGAGAGAGAGACAGAAGTGCAAGTGCAAGTGCCTCTGTCTCTGTTTCTGTCTCTCTCTCTCTCATGGGACTTGCCGGAGGGCCGTGGGAGGGCCGCATTTACATAGAGCAGGGAGGGCTGTTAGAGGGCCGTATTAAACCGGAACGTGGGCCGCAAATGGCCCGCGGGCCGGACTTTGGACATGTCTGATTTAAAGGAATGTCAGAAGGAGGCAGTAGCAGCAGCTCTGGATATAGCCTGTTTTGTTTCTAGCACACATAATTGTAAACTATGCCAAAGAAGTGAATTTAAAATTAGAAATAGGTAGTTTGGGCTTAAAATATTGTCATCAATTGTGAATTTATTGCCTAAGATGTTTGTATGCACTAATCTGGCAAACCATGGACAGAACATCTGTCTGAAGGAGGTTTCATACTGAGTGTTCCATTTTAAGTAAGAAAGGGCAAAACTAGGAAAGTAAACTTGTTGCGTGTCTATGATTACATGGAGAAGTTAAGGAAAATGATAGGTGTCATAACCCACTCTCTCTATCTACATATAGTCAAGCTGAATATAGTGAAAGTCACATATGAATAGAAATACTCAATTTGGAAAGCTATATTTTTTAAAAAAAATTCCTTTCCTTCTCCTCCTTTTTCTTAGTAGAAGGGGAAAATCCATACTATATTATGACATATTTATCTACTTTGAGAGTAGAACAAGATACAGCAGGGAAAGGAATCCAACAAAATACACTGAATATTTAACTTTTAATTTGAATGTTCCAAATATTTTGATTGAACTCAAACTTGTAATACATTCACTTAATGTTTTGTGTACTAATTTGATTCTCCTCTCAAATAAAATCCTGGAAAGTCTGCACTGCGTTTCATCAACTCTAAAAAGGCTAATGTTGTGCTTACAAAGGTCATAGCAAGAAATGTCTACATATTTATAGAAATTCAAGAGCTACGACTCATTGTATGAGAAAAAAAGAAACACAAACATTCTTCAAATGTTGGCTGGGAGAGCAGATAACCGAAAGATTAAAATACACTACAAATTAATAGCCACATATTCACATTACAGCGCAGACTAAAAGCTCTGCAGAAAATAAATTAACCTAACTTAAAATAATTAAGTTTCAATCCTAAGAATACAAAACAAAACCCAATCATGAAAAGCTGGAAGGAATAGAATTTACCGTGGAAATAAAGACATTTCTTTACCTCTTTGCATAATGGCATCAGAGATGTGTCTATGAGGAAGGCCAGAATGTAGCTACAGTGATGGCATTGGAAGTTTGGGGAGCAGAGAAAATGGCAGATGTTGTGTACTAGTAATCTGGTTTCAAACACACTCCGGCTTGTGCTTGAAGACAAACTGGCAACTGGTGGAGTTGAACATAGATGATATATGGTCCCTACAACTGGCTCCAATCAAAACTTCAGATTTTGAAGCTGATGAAGGCTGAAAAGCCCCCCTTTATGACTTGCAATGCAGTCATCAAAATAATAAGCTATTAAGATGATGCATTACCACAGCAAATGACCAAAAGTGCATTGGTCTCAGCTACAAAAAATGCTTCGAGTTAGAGGTCAAATCCAACCCTTACTACATATGTGTCTACATATGTCAGGATAAATTCCTATCCTCTGTTGATCTTTCTTCCCAGGCCAAGTATGGATAAGCCTGCATAGCCTTATTATTTTATTATTTTAAAATTATATATTTTTTAAAAAATGTAAGGTAAAAGTTCATAGGAAACCAGTAAAGGCAATCCTCGAGTTACAACGGTTCATTTAGTGATCGTTTAAAGTTACAAAGTTACTGAAAAAAGTGACTTATGACCGTTTTTCACGCTTACAACCATCCCCGTGGTCACATGATCAAAATTCAGATGGCAACTGACTCCTATTTATGACAGTTGCAATGTCCAGGATGCATGTGATCATCTTTTGCGACCTTCTGACAAGCCAAGTCAATGGGGAAACCAGTTTCCCTTAACAACCGTGTTGCTAATTTACCAACTGCAGTGATTCACTTAACAACTGTGGCAACAAAAGTTGTAAAATGGGGCAAAACTCACTTAACAAATGTCTCACTTAGCAACAGAAATTTTGGGCCCAATTGTGTGGTCATACGTTGAGGACTACCTGTATAGTAACAGAGTATGGAACAAGCTTTCCTTGCCTTTGATTTCAAGAGCTTGGAAAAGGTCAGAGTTCCTTAGTTATTTTTATTATCACAGAAAAAAATCACATCTCTATCAGGCCTCTCCTTTCCCGAATTTAAATATATATATTGCTATGGAATAATTAGTTATTGCTGTGGAATAATATTTAATGTCCAATTGTCATTTTATTTTTAAATTAAATTCAAATAAATGCTATAAAAATGAAACTCATTGTATTTTACTTTAAAATCTCTCTATCCCATGGAATCAGTTGTGGCATTCTTTGACTTCTACTGAAGTGATGCATCTCTATTTTCTGACAGACTCATCAGAAAGTCTGCTGAAAGAACCATTTGCCAGACTTGAAGGGTGTGGTTTTGGTCAGGCAGATGTTTCAGCATCCCATGACAAACGTACTCGCTTTCTAACCCTTGGGATAAGCCCCACTCGTATTTTCTCTTACAGTTTTTCACCCCCCCCTGAACAACACAGCTCATTTACAAGTCATATTTCTTGGCTTCGGAACTTGTGAGGGGGGGAAAAAAGCAAGAACGAAGCAAAGTGACAGAGGCTTTAGAAAATTTACTTTTTTTTTTTTTTATACCAGAAAGGCAATGTATCTTCTGCTCCTACCAGTACTCTGCTCTCCAGAATCTCTTAACCTGGTACTATTACATTTCATTAATGAAAACCTCTTGAAACATTAGTCACTTCCTGGAAAAGCGTATACTCAACTATGGAGATTCTCCTACTATATTGCCAAATGCAGAACTAAGTCTGCTAATGAATTTGGTAGTCAAGGTTATGGATCAGGGAGTCTGTCCCGTTTCTGTCCAGTTTCAGGAGGAATTCTGTTTGGCTGATTTTCTGCTCCAGGTGCATTCCCCCAAAAGTCACTTTGGGATTGCAGTTTGCAGGATGGGAGGGGGGAAGTTGGTGAAAGTTAGTCTGGTATAGTCCATCCATCCACCAATAATAACCTCTCTATAGCCTTTACACTTGAGACTGTCCCCAATAAATTATTATGTTGCAATAAAAGAAGAAAGACAACCCAGTCACACAAAAAGCCATGGTAAATAACTGTACCTAAAAAACAGAGTATATGCAATAGAGTACAGCCATAAAATTACACTGCTAATGCAAAGAGCTATTCTCATCCTGCTGATTAACTTGAGCACAATGCATGAGAAAATCAATTCAGAGGGTGACCAAATGTTTCTTCTTTTCCTACGGCAAGTTTCTCATATGCTTTTCCAAAGGGGTGGCACCCCCCACCCTCTCCTTTTTTTTCACCGCACCGTTCTGACCACTACCCAGCACATCTTCTCGTTAAAGCTGTTAATTCTTACCTTCAGTGCTGGGCTTTTTAATTTCTTCCACTCGAATTAATTTCTTTCTCACTCTGCGAGTTGAGTTGACCAACTTATGCAGTCTCTTAAACTTCACTGATTCTTCTGATTCATCATCTGACTGCTCTCTTGACTGGCAGGGAAGCAAAAGGAAATGTTAGTAGAGGAATTGTTGCACAGCTCAAGGCAAGGAAGAGTCCCTTTTTCCAGAGTCCTAAAACAAGGCAAGCCCTGAAACTTAAAACAGTTCATCTCTCATCCTGAATATTCACAATCTCTCTCTCTCTCTCTCTCTCTCTCTCTCTCTCTCTCTCTCTCTCTCTCTCTCTCTCACACACACACACACACACACACACACACACACAAATACACACAGAGTATTTTAAAAAGAATGGAACATACCATTTTCACTTCTAAATTAGCACGAAGTAAGGTCTCAGGCACCAAAACGCGTTCCAGCCCTCATCCTCTTCTCTGCCTCTGCACATTGTGTAATAATAGCAGACTCCACGTTGCCTTCCTACACAGCACAGGCAGGACACTTTCCTAGCACTCTCTGAGCCCTGTTAGTTAAGCTCCTGTGGTTTGGGTCAGGCAATGGTCTTCCTGGCCTGGCGAAACTTCACATTGAAAAACCTGGTTACAAACTGCTTTTTCTGCACTGAACTGAAACATTCTCATTGACTCCTTTTTTCCAGCCTTAACAAGGAAAATCAAAAACAGCAACAGCAGCAAAAATGAGGAGGTGGGGAGGGAGAGAGAGAGGGAGAGAGGGAAAGGGAGGGAAAGGAAGAGGAGAGCTCATCTTCTCCACTCCGATGTATTTTATTAATTATAAAGAGTCATAGAATTTTTTTTTCTCTCATCCCCATCCCAGGCTTCCCATTCTAAAGACTCTCAAAACTGGCTGTTAATACAGACCAAGCATTCCTCAGGAATTGACCAAAGGAAAACTCTGACCTTTGCAGGCACTTAGTTTAGCCCATACTCCCCAGCTTCCCATTTGGTCTCACATCTGATGCTGCCTGCTCCGTTCCAGCTGTTTTCCCTCAAGTATCCAGCATTACAGAGACATAAAGAATCCTCCCTCTCCAGCAGCAGTGACACCACAGGCTGAAACAATCCATTCCTTGTGAACCAAATCAGAGCTCTCATTTTCAAGCCAGACCCAGTGCTCAATATGCTACTTCCTCTGTTTGGCCCCATTTAGAATTTCTGTGCACAAAAGTAGAAAGGGGGAGACCAAAAGAAAGAAAGAAAAAAAAAGAAGAAGAAGAGGGAGACTTAACTCTTGGCTTTTACAGTACAGAACTGCCACTGTACAGGCTTGCATTCCAAGGAGCGGAGAAGATTCCAGCTGGAACTCTCCAAAGACTTTATTTCGGCCTTTGCTTTCACACACAGCTCTGACCAATTCATCCCAATTCCAGCCTCCCAGCTCAGAACCCCAAAAGCAACTTCCTGTGGGTGAACTTTGGGTCATTTAAGTTGCCAGGTTGAAATTGTGCCTTATTGTCTAGCTCTGTTTTAAGTCGGACAAAATAGGCTTTATTTAACAGCAATGTATATAATGCCCATATGTATCAAGCTGGGGACATGAGGGCTCATCGGTTAAAGACGCTGAGCTTGTCAGTTGGAAAGCTGATAGCCCAGCTTTCAGACCTGAGCACCGCACGATGGGGTGAGCTCCCGTTACTCATCCCAGCTCTTGCCAACCGAGCACTTCGAAAGCATGCAAATGCAAGTAGATAAATAGGTACCACTTTGGTGGGAAGGTAACCATGTTCCATGCACCTCGACATACTGGTCAGATAACCACGGAATTGTCTTCAGATAACGCTGGCTCCTTTGGCTAAGAAACGGGGCACTACCTCCTAGAGTCACACATGACTGGATAGGGGAATCCTTTACTTTACCTAAAATTGCCACCTACTGCCCCTTCCAAGGGTGCATAGGACTTGGTCCACCATTCTTTCATAATCTTGTTGGTTCACCTTAGCCATCGTCATTTTTGAACTGTGATGCCCCAGAACTGGACACAGAATTCCTACTGAGGTCCAACTAGGGCAGAGTAGGATCAAACGATTACTCCTTGCGATCTGGATGTCACTGTTTCACTCTACTAGGCTTTGGGTCATCGTTCAAACAATTTAGCTTTATGTGCAAATAGAAATGCAGCCATATTGTCCTGCTTGGATTCTAAAATAAAACAGGACATTTTAAAACTCCTTACAGATACACTCTTTCTCTTTGCACTTTGTTTGGATATGTTCAGAAAAAAATGCTTTTAGAGAGATGCTTTTGCATTGAATACACATGCATTACAGGAAAAGTATGAACTGGCCCCTATGTTAAGTAATTTCCTCCCCAAATGGTATTTGCATATTAATACCAAAAGGGAGCATTTTGCAGCATGTGGCACTTTGGCTATCCCACTCAGAGATCAGAATGCTTCCAATTCAACAACTTTTGAGTCATTTGCATCCACAGGCACGCAGATTTCTGCTTGAAAATGTTTCAACATAGTCAGTAACTCTGTGCCAAAAAAGAGGGCCCCACAACGTGTATAACCCTCTATATGGAAAGCAGTAATTCTACAAAGCGACTTCTTTGCATATTTCAAAGAAGAAAACACATGGAATTGCAATAGTGTAAACAGGAACAGCTTGGTTTTCAACCACACTGTAAGCCCCCACCCCTTTCATTCAAAAGCCCCTAATGGCTCAAGTCTTAATTATTTTGGCTAATGTCGGATGCAGAAATTCTGTAGTGAATGCTTAAGTGTTTCATTTCTAGTTTCCATGGCAACATTACATCAGATTGCAGACAGCTGGCTCCACAGTTTTAAACCATAACAAATTGACCAAGCTAGTTCAGAAAATTATCCTGCCTTTAAAGAGATAGCATCCTATTCAGCCGCCAGCAAAATATTGCAAGGCCAACAGGGTTTTCTTTTGGCAAATATAGGAAGGCGGATTCTTTTTCCCAGCTTCTTTTGGAACAAGTGCATCTCTGACACATCAGCGATGTTCTAATGCCAGCCAAAAATGGGTCAATATATTCCACAACTGCATGAAAAAGCACAGGGGAACCAGGTCAAAAGCATTTGCAGTTATGAAGTTCTCCAACAATAAACTGAAGCAAAACTTTTGTCAGATGGTCCAAAACTTCCCAACCCAAGTTGTTTGGAAGTTCTCCGTGCTTCTTCATTAACAAAGTGGAATTAGAAGTCAGGAAACTGTCTCAGTTGCTAATATGGTCTTAGGAAAAGATGGACAGTTTTCAGTTTCCTTTGCAAGCTCTGACTCCCATTGAATTCTGTATCTCAACCTAAGCTTATTCATGTAATTTGGGCAAGTATGTATTTACTATCTAAAGAAACAGCTCCTGAAATTCACATTTTAAAGAATTGATTTGTATCTCTTGATCTGCCTGTATCGTTGCTTTTTCAGTCATGATCTGCTTTCTAAATATACCGATAAAAAGTCCATCCAAGAAATGACTAATTAACATACCGAATTACTGTTTAACTCAGTTGTGTTAGCTTAACTTTATTTCCTATCTGTATCACAACTAATTTTTCATTTCATAACTATCTGATTACTTACAAGAAATAGGCAGTGTTTCAATACACACACACACACGTGTGTGTGAGTGTGTGTGTGTTATAGTATGTTTTATTACATATGCATTTATCTAAAGATAGTTTCTTGCGTATGTTAGGCACCCCTGCTAATAATAATAATAATAATAATAATAATAACAACAATAATAATAATAATAAGTTGGAAGGGACTTTGGAGGTCATCTAGTCCAACCCCCTGCTCAGGCAGGAAACCCTATACCATTTCAGACAAATGGCTGTCCAGTCTCTTCTTAAAAACTTCCAGTGTTGGGGCATTCACCACTTCTGGAGGCAGGGTGTTCAACTGGTTAATTGTTCTAACTGTCAGGAAGTTTCTCCTTAGTTCTAGGTTGCTTCTCTCCTTGGTTAATTTCCATCCATTGCTTCTTGTCCTGCCTTCAGGCGCCTTGGAAAATAGCTTGACTCCCTCTTTTTTGTGGCAGTCCCTGAGATATTGGAATACTGCTATCATGTCCCCCCTCGTCCTTCTCTTCATTAAACTAGACATACCCAATTCCAGCAGCCTTTCCATATATGCTTTAGCCTCCAGTCCCCTAATCATCTTTGTTGCTCTTCTCTGTACAACAAAGATGATTAGGGGACTGGAGGCTAAAGCATATAAGGAACGGCTGCTGGAATTGGGTATGTCTAGTTTAATGAAGAGAAGGACGAGGGGGGACATGATAGCAGTATTCCAATATTTCAGGGGCTGCCACAAAGAAGAGGGAGTCAAGCTATTTTCCAAGGCGCCTGAAGGCAGGACAAGAAGCAACGGATGGAAACTAACCAAGGAGAGAAGCAATCTAAAACTAAGGAGAAACTTAAATGGTACAATTCACTCAATCCTTAAGTAAACAAAGGCTATATATAATCTTTACACATTTCTGCAAATGTGAATGGATTCTTACTTTTCATATACAGTTGTTCACAGATTCCAAAAAGTGGCCGACCTGTTAGGCCTACAGTTCTGCAGATGAATGAAAACTCTGACCCTCTAAGGCTGGGACTGGGCTTTTGTCTACTTTCAATGTACATCGATTTTTCTAAGCAGCTGTGTGAGGACTTGAAAATGAATACAATTCATTATTACAAAGCAGGAGAAAAACAAAGACGTTTTCAGCTAGCAACATTGTCAGCTGGCAAACAATGTTAAAAAAAAAAGGAAGTTAAACAAAACTGCTGAAATCAAGACAAGACCTGGAAGAACAAGAACAATCTCTGCTAAAATTGGTCCCAAACTATTCAGAGCAGCAGATCAGAAACCATAGATTACTGCAAACCATTGGTTGGTATTGTAATCCCTGTATTTCTCAACTACCTTGTCGCTTGGTTAAAATGAGAAGCAGATCTAATATATTTGGAGAATCCAATCATTTATTTGCCTACTTATCTAGATCAAGGCTTGGTTGTTCTTGCCTGTACAAAAGCAACCTTCTCTAAGTATCGGATTCAAAGTATTCCACAAGGATATACATGGACAATAATTCCGGAGCCATATATAAACATGT